TACTTATTATTTTTTGAACATGTTACTTATTGTTTAAGTTAAATTCTGTGAGAATCATTCTTATCAATTTAAATAATTTCTATTTAATAATATTTGATATCGATCAAATTCAATTTTTTTTTTTTCAAATAATAATTTGATGCATTTTTCATTCACAAAATAATCGAAATCAATGAACCACGCATAGCTTTGAATGAATTTTATGAAAAAAAAAAAGAGTTCAGTTACAATAAGTGCCATTGAACTCATTTATTTTATCCAAACTTTTGTTAAACTTTCCTTTTTTTCAGGTCATTTTTATTTGTCAAATTTTATTTATATTAGCAATAAGTAATACTTAAATCAATTTCAAAACGAGTATATTAACCTGTAATATTTCTAAATCTTTGCATTATTAAAAACAAAAAAACAAATTCCCAGATCTTCTCATTATTACTTTTTATGAATGAAGAGGAAGTTGTTGAATATAAATGAAAAGAATTTTCTTGCAAAAAAAAAAAAAAAGAAATTTTTTAAATATTTCAAAAAAGAAAAAATTGCTTTTTCTTTTTCCTTTCGCTCTCTTTTCATTTTTGCTTAAATCATCAAAATGAATGTTATTCGAGGAGAAAGTAAATTGAGAATTATTTGTGGTATAACAATTATAATAGTTTGTTTTATTTCTTCCTAAAATTGATTTTTGTTTATTTAGCTGAAACCCACTCGAAACCACTGGTTGCTTCGATTGGTTCATTGGTTTAGTTAGTTTAGTGATTTAGTGATTACTTTTCCTACAAGTGTCCTATTTTTTTCTTTTTTTGTTTTTTAAAATGTTGTTATAACTGTCTTATATAATCATTTAATAATCAACAAAATCCTATTATTATTACTATTACTATTACCAGTTGAAATAAGTGTGCAAAAATTTAAGAATAAAAAAGTGAAAATGAAAAATAAGCAAAGAAATAATAATTTCTTATTTCAATCATTTAATTCAGATTTCAAATATTGCTTTTCATTTATTATAAAATTTAAATTATTCATTCTTCGGTTGAATGAAACGATAAAATTCAGGCGAGTGAAGAATAAATCCATTTTCATTTCTCATTTCTCATTTTATATAAAATAATTTAATTAATTACCAAACAAATCATATATTCTTATGACGATAATACTGCAACATTATTTTGAACTTTGTATGATAAATTTTATCAATTGATAATAAAAGATAACAAAAAAATTAACAATATGATAATTAATATCGAATTAGATTATTTTGTGCATACTTTCAATGTCACTTTAAAATTTCATATCAACCTTTATCTTTTATCACTAAATGATTCATTGGAAGGAAAACAAGGAAAAAAAAAGTTAACGAGAAAATAGAATTAATCATTTTGTTCATTGTTGAGAAAATTTAAAAAAAAAAAAAAAAAATAAGAAAAAAAGAAAAAATTGTTCTGGTTTTGTTAAAACTATTGATTAAACTGAAAGGATTGCTGTATCCTATTTTTTTTTCTTTGTTTGTTTGTTTGTTTATTTGTTCAAAATGTTTGCAAAGAAATATATTTATAAAATATTTCAGCTGAATATATTTTCAATTCTAAACGAATATTTGAAGCAGTGTTTTAGCAAATTTTAAAAGTAAAACTAACTTCTTTACTTTTATTGATTTGCATAAAAATGAGATTTCATAAATTGAATATATCAGATAGCTGAAATTTGCATCGTTAGTTTCATTTTGATATCTGATATAAAAAAGGAGAGGAAAATTCTGTTTGGGATTATCAATTAGAAAAAATTAATTAACGAATGGAATTGGATAAAATTTTTTTAAAAATAAAAAAAAAGATATTAAATGTAATTTCTAACATAAATAATTTTTATTTTTTCCCAATTAAATTGTTTAATTATACTAATTATTCGTTTTATTAATTCTAATCTGTTCATCTATCATAATATTTAGCATAAAATTTTCAATTTTTCGTTTTCTACCTTTTTTCTTTTATTCATAATATGTATTTTAATATTTTTTAAAACGATATTTCAATTTTTAGTAACTTTTTTTCTAATTTAAAATAAATAATAAAAAAAAAAAAAAAATAAGAATTTGAATTTTTCTTTGACATTTTCTATTTATATATGCGAACAAAAAAAAAAAAAAAAGAAAAATCGAAAAAAGCAAATGGAAATTTCAATTTTGCTTTTTTTTTTTTTTTTTCGTTTTGTAGAAAATTTTTGCAGACGAAGTAGTAAAAATGAAAAGATAAAAAAAAAAAAACAAAAGAAAACAAAAAAAGAAAGAAAATCGATTGGATAATGAGAGAGGCGAGAGACAGAGAGAGAGGGGCAGAGAGAGAGAGGGAGAGAGAGAGAGAGGGAATCTTTAGTCGTTTGGTAAGCAACAGCTATTGCAAATGTCAACAATCGTTGGTGGTGGTGCAATTGGCGCAAAATGTATTTTCATGGATACAACAATAAATTTAGGATTCATTTGTTTTTCTAATTTAATTGCTATTTCAGTTTGATGAAAATGTTCAAATTAAATTTACTAGTAAAAATGCTTTTTGTTTTTTTTTACAATTTTTTATAGATTTTTAAATTTAAATTGAATTGATTGTTTGATAAAAAAAAAATAGAATAAGTTGTTTATATAATGATTTCTTGGATATTTTCCTGTGATATTAATTAGAGTATTAATTTTGATTTATTACATTCTATTAATTAAGAATAATTCTTTTTATTGCAACCATTTGTTTATATCAATAAATTAACATTTATGGGAATTATTAGAAGTTTACTTCTTCTTTTTTCTATTCATTTTTCATTTTACAATAATATATGTAAAGAAAGAAAGCAAAGAAGAGGGAGAGAGAGGGAGAGAGGGAGGGAGAGAGAGAGAGAAAGATAACTGATAAAAGTTTATTCATTGTTATCACATCTGGTAGAAATGGAATGTCTATTAGAAGAAAAACAAAAAAGCGGAATTGTTCAGGAATTGCATAATGTTTATTTTTGCAGCTGTTGTTGATATAATTGACTTGAAAGTTCATTCCATCTTTATTTCATTTCATTTCAGTTCATTTCAATTCAATTCAATTCATTTCAGTTCATTTCAATTCAGTTCAAATTATTTCATTTCATTTAAATTCAATTCATTTCATTTCAATTCAGTTCAATTCATTTCATTTCAGTTCATTTCAGTTCAATTCAATTCGTTTTAACAAGTACTTCGTGATGTCATGCAGACATATCATACTATCATTGATTCATTTCTTCGCCGTTTTTTCTTTTTTTTTCTTCCTTTTTTTTTTTTGCAGAAAAAGAGAACAAACATTAACACAGTTTCTGTATCTAATAAATTTAAAATTAGTTATTTCAAAATTTCAAAATGATAAAACTATTCAAATTTAAATTTCATTAGAAGTTACAATAATGTCATGAATTTATTGCAAATTGTCTGAAAAAGTTAGGTTAAGAAGAGAGTATTTGTAGAATTTATTCAAATATTTTCAATTTATAAATGAAAATGAATATAATTAATATTTTATTTAATTTCGTTTAATTAAAATTTGTGATTGATTTAAAACTTTAAATTAGTGGCGAAAGTGCGAAATGTTGAATTTAAACTTAATTTATTACTAAATTTCTTCAAATGATATCATTTTAGTTGAAAAAGAAAAAAGAAAGGGACGTGTTTGAGGTTAAAGAGTGATGGACTAAATTTGCATGCAGAGTAGCATGGACTGAAAGAAATTTAGCCAGAAGTTACTATTCAGCCTTAGTTTTACTTTGTCTTTTCACGTATGTATCACGTGAGTTACGCATAATTAAACATTTAAATAATGCTTTGAAAGTGTTTATTTCAAATTTACCAAAGTAATGTTTTCATTTATCCATGCTAAATTTCCTTTCCTCCAATTTTTCCTTTCATCTCTATATGGATGACTCATCGTAAACGTTTCGTTACGTGATTTATGACTCACACAATGCCATACATTTATTTGTTCATTGTTTATTGCTATGTTATATTCATTGTTATATTTCTTAATGTATTAATTTATCTCTACGCTTTTCACGTTTCATTGCGTGATTCGTGCGTTTCTTTTTCTATTCTTCTTTCTATATATGTGTTATTCAACAATTTAAATTTATGAATGAGATATCATCAAAAAATTTTTGCGCTTCAATAATATGAGTATTTATTCATTTTACTTTTTATTTCAACAGAATTAAGAAATTTTTCTCTTTCTTTTCTTTCAAAACTATTTTTGTAGCAGCAAAAAGAAAAGAAAAAAAAAACACATTGCAAAGATATTTGTGTTGCATTTACTTTCCATCTTTTCTGATTCTTTTTGATTTATTTTCTAACTTATCAAATATTCTATTTTGCTAGATTGAATTAGGTGATTTTTCGCGCGAAATTTACATTTTCTTTTCAAAAACTTTATGAATCATACGGTGAAAATATGAATGAATTATTATGATTTTAGTTTTTTCTCAAACCGTTTCCTTTTTATTTCATTTTATTCTCTTTTGATGGTAATCATTTATTGTTATGAATGTTTTGGTGTATCATTATTTTTCTTTTAAAGTAGAATTTTAATGTAATTGAAGTGATTTTGATTCAGACAATGTTATATGCTTAATCATTTGCATTTTTTTTATGTCTGGAAAGCTAACTGCTTTTGTGAGTGGCTAACTTGATTTGCTTAAAACTTTTGCAAAATATTTTATCACATTTTTCTATGTGAAATATTGCTCAACTTAAATTGCATGCACTGAAGTGACTCATTTTTTTTTTTTGACTTTTTCTTCAACTCTTCTCTACATGTAAACCATTCTTTTTTTTTTTTTTTTTTTTTTTTTTATCGCTTAGGTTATTTCATTGTTTGGAAATTTTGAAGAAATTTCAAATTATTTGTTGCGTAAGCTTTCTATTATTTTGCGAAAAAAAAAAATTCCTTATACTTCTTTAATTTAATTCAAAATGGAAATTTGAAAGTTGTATCTTTTTCAGGATGCTTTTACTTATAGAACCACCAGGTACTAAACATCATAATGTTACTGGATCTGATACACAACATGGACAGCATCTTCTGGAATATAGCACACCTGAAGAAGACGAAGAACCGGATTGTGATGATATAAATCCACCAACAACTGTCGAAACAGTAGCATCTTGCGCTCAAGTGAGGATAAGACAAATGATGAATTTCGATTATTTAAACGTTGCTTTTTCGATGTTGTAATGAACTATAAGTATTACAATCCTGTTTGCTTTGTCACATTGTGATATTCATACCATTAATATTGTTTTCCTATTCAGTCTAAAGTATCAAAGAGTTATTTTGCATTCGCAGTATGAAATATTGATATCTACATAGTTCAAGTAAATATCAATTATTTGTATGGTTAAGTTTTCAGGAGAATAAGTCTAGTTGAAAAAAAAAAAACAGAAATTTCTTTTTTTGTTTTTTCAGAATGTTACCATTACTTTTTTTTTTTTTTTTTCAATGATATAATAAATTTTGGTAACAGCTCTGTCATGTTTTCAGAAAATTGATCAGTTCTTGGTTGGCAAATCGAATTCATGTGAGTTTTCGGATCGATGGAAACGTGAATTCAGTGAACGACCGTCATGGTGTGACGCAGATATGGCTTTGCAACAAATTAAACGAGTTAGAATAATTTTCATTCTCTACGTATTTAGACTATTATTCATGCTGAATACACTATTACTTTTCTTCGCTTTACGAAGCACTTTTGAAAGTGCAAAAATGGTTGTCCATCAAGAAACAAAAAAAAATAAAAAAAGAAGCTGCGTTCACTTTTCACTATGTTACTATATAAAATTATTAAGGGTAAAGCACGTGGCAGTCGCGCAGCTTTATATTCCAGAAGCTTAATCCAAAAAGCATTGTTTACTTTGGGAACATTTGTACATCATCATGCTTGTCTTGTTATATTTACCGTTATAATGTTCTTCTGTTTCTGCTGCTATGGTTTACGATATGTTCGCATTGAAACAGACGTTGTCAAGTTATGGGTAGCACGTGAGTTTTACGTTAACTTTGAAATGGAGCAAATAAATGGGTGGAAAGATTACATAACTCTTTAGTTATCATATGAGTAAATAAATGGATGGAAAGATTGCATAAATTTCTAGTTATCAGTTATTTTGCAAAAGAATCTGTGAAACTTGTTTTCAAGTCAGTAGTTATTCATTATTATTATTTATAACTATTTCTTGATAAACCACAATAATTTTTTTTTATTTATTTTTTCTGATGTACTTTATATTTCTTTTCATACTCTATTTTATATTCAGAGATAGAGAACATGGAGTTTTTTCTCATGTAATGATGAATTTAGAGAAAGATTTCTTATAGCTGAAGTGTATTTGATGCTATTGTAGTTGAAGAAAATATTTCTGATTATTTCGAGACATAAATCATTCGGAAAATTCAGAATAAATCAGTTCATTTATTTTCATTCCCTTTTTTGAAAGATTGATTATATGGTAATATCTTGAAATGCAAAAAGGGAAATCCTCAATATTTTTAATTTTGGAAAGTCTATTTATATTTTCTGTTATTGGATATTTCATTTTAAAGAAGACTTATTTTTTAATTTTTAGGTGGTGGTCGTTTGGAAGAAGAACTTAATTTTCTTTCAAGAATAGAAAAGTCAAGTTCAGACAAAGCACATGGTGAAACAGGTCTTGGTGGTGCTTATCAGGTATCATCCTGCATTTATCTTCACAATTTCATTTTCGTTTTATTTTTCTTTTTTATCGTACTCCTTAGTAAGTGTGTAAGGAAGCCGTAAACTGCAGCACCCATTAACTATTTAATTACATTGTTCGGAAATCTGTTTATGTTAGTAAGAAAAAGGGATAGAATAAAAGACGCAGAAGATGGGATAATCGGTATCTATTCCAAAAAATTTTCTGCTCCTTAAATTGGAAAGATATTTATTTTCAGGTTGTGATACAAACTCCTACAGTTGAAGGTGATAATATACTTACTCAAGAAGGTTTATTAGAACATGTTACAATTTTGGAAGAAATTGCGAAGTATAAAGTGAACGTTGCTGGCGAGTGTGTTTTTCCATTTTTTGTTTTATCTTATTGTATTAATTTATTCACTTCTTTTGTAATTTTTTAAAGATTTCAAAATCATAGAATCAGATTTTTATAACATTTTAAATTGGTCTTTTTATTATTTTGTATCTCATAATTGTCTTGAATATTGAAAGGAAATTCAAAGTATCCAGAATATACGTTATAGCGTTTTGAAATACGAAATGATTGTTGTTATATCTTCAAAGTTGTTTTATTTCTTTGTACGACTAACGTGAGCGATTGCTGATTCATTTATTTAGCTTGCATTTGTTCTGAAACTTCTTATAATATTTTTTCAAAAAAATATTTTTTTACAGAAATTGGACCCTTGCTGATCTGTGTTTCAAACCACCAGCACCAAAAATAGATAAATTATTTGCGGAATTTGTACCACTTATTGATAAAATAATACCATGTATTTGGATTACACCAATTGATTGCTTTTGGGAGGGATCAAAAGCAATTGGACCACATCCCAGTATTGAAAGCAGGTAAAAAATAACTAATGTGGAGTAAGCAAATGAAGAGTTTTAAAATTAATGTTACTTAAGTTTAACTTAGTTTTTAATTTAGTTTGGATGATAAAAAAATGGAAGTGCAGAAGTTCGCTATTATGCATTTACATCCAACTTCATGCACTCTATGGAGTTTTTCAGTTCGCTCGGTTTTGGGAAAGAATTTTTGACATCATTATCAAATATGGACACTTTATCATGGTCGAATATTGATCCACAAGCGCTGCTGGATGAATTGGCCGAGATTTTGGACCTGGGTGATTTCAACAGTTTTTTCCATCGAGTAAACTTTAACTTTGCTAAATTGGTCATTGAAGTGAAAAGTGACGTAATTTGAATACCGAGAATTATTTTATATTTCATCTCATAGTCAGATATCGAAGAGATGCAAAATATGTCAGCTTTGTGATTTTAATAAAACTTTGAACTTTAAAATAAATAACTGAATAAGCTCGGTTATTATTTCTAATTTCAGGCTAACATAGGCAGAGGTTATCTTGATCGATGGTGCATCGATCCACTTAACACGGAATGCCCAACTGGATCACCAAATCATTTTGCTTTTTGTGATCTCATCGCTAGATTTTTGGAATATGCCAAGAAACATGGTTTTGAAGTACCAATTGATCCCGAATATCTTCATCGCGAGGAAAGAAAGAAGAACCAGGAAGATGAATACAGTATTTTCCCTTTCTTCGGCATAAGTTAGTTCAATACACTAAAATATCACACTTTAAAGAATAGAGGAAAGAAATTCCTGATTCATTTTTGTATAAGCAATAGGGATTCGAAGTAAATTTTTGCTTCTTCCTAGTAATCATAGATTAAAGAAGTCATTGCAGAATTACATTATTTAAATGCCATTAACTAATTGAAATTTTGATAGGGAAATCTTATGTTTAAGGCTTTTAAAATCAAATCAGTTTTCAGGACAAAAGAGAAGTCTGAAAAAGTCGACTGATAATTATTTAAACCTAGACGGAACGTCAAATGATGCAAATCGATCTGAACTTTCCTTTAACGATGCTGAAGCCATCAAAACAAATATAACGAAACTTGAGACTGTTCATTTTCTTTCAAAACTTACCGGAAATAGCACGAACAATGAACAGGTTGGAACTTCTACAGTGGGAAGCAAATCTGTCGGATTATTGGAACCGTTAAAAATAACAACTCCAAATCCAAAGAGAGGTTTGATAATTTTGTGATTAAATATTTCATATGTCTTTGAGAAAAGAAATCATGCGATATCTAAAATCGAGGACGTTTGAGGTGATACAGGCCTTTTTCAAGCATTGTGTCTTTTTCCTTCAGAAATATAGCAGCTTTGCCATAAGGAAAAAGTTCGTCTAAAACTTCAGGTTCAATCGCTTATCAAGATGACAATGATTTTCTGTATGAAGATGATGAAGATAAAGAAATTAATTTAAATGGTGAGAAGACTAGGTTGCATAAATTATAAAAGGAAATTGTTATGTGTGGATCTCTTTAGTTAAATAGCATGCTACCCATCATCTCACCTTTTTTTGCATTATTTTTTTATTGCATTATTTAGAATTTTAAATCTCCACTTTGCTTTTCTATAGCTTCCGCCCATATGTTGTTGTTGTCGTATGAAGTAGTTGTTGATGGTGGTCATTATTTCCAGCTTTTTTTTAAGTTTAATTAGGTTATTTAAATTCGTTAAAATTGTTTTGCTTTCAAATTAACAACGAAAATTAATTATGTAATCATGACGATGTGTTCATCGAATCCACACATCCTAATCATTCCAGATTAGCTGTCGTTTTTAGAGTTCTCACTCTGTCAATTCCCTTTTTCTCCTTTGCTGCATTTTCGTCAGGTGTATTTTTCTTCCATAGAAAATCTAAATGAATGTTCATTTACATTTTCTCTTCTGTGTAATACTATATTTATTTGTTGCCATGAAGCTTACAACTTGTTTTGTGTTCATAGAAAATTCGGACTATTTAACGTTAGTTTTTATTAGAATTCTTTATTTTCTTTCCTTCTCTTCAATAGATTTCCTATCTTTAATTTATCTAGATTTAAGCATGCATCAATAATGAAGCATGATGGAAGTTGTTTGTGTCACAGCTTTTACACTCACGTGATATTCAATTTTTTTTCTGGTACTTGCTAAAGAAGCAAATGAAATTTTCAGCTGAACTTTGCGCGAAATATGCACGATCTTTTTCGGAATGGCTTCGGAATAATACGGATAAATGGCATGAGCTCCTTAAATTGGTACAACGTTTTTTTAGCTATTATTTAAAATGAAATCTTTTTTTTTTTTTTTTTTTTTTTTTTTTTAACAAGGACTTTTTTCATAACTTTAATTTAAGGAAAGATTAAACAGATTAGTTGCATAGTTGATGTCCACTAATCACTGAACAAAATCTTACATTACTTTATCCCAGCGTAGTGTCGCGCTGCAATACTACTCGTATATACGTGATAATGACGGTTATTTTTCAGCATGAAATGCCTTTACTTCCTAATTACGGTGAAGTAATGACCGGTGGCTGTCGTAGTTTTGCCAAAGATGTTATGTCATGGCCACAGGATTTGATTATTGGTGGCGTTAGGATCAAAAATGGTACAATTGAAAGTGCGGAAGCTTTGCAAAGCGTGTTCTTGGTTGCTTCTCCTACTGATATATATAATCGTTTTAAGGTATACTTTGTTACCGCAAAGAAATAATAAGTCAGCGTTAGTTGAAAATACTAAAAAAAATTGAATTGTTGACGTTGAATTATTATGCTATTTTCAGCATAAAAGCAAGTATCAGCAAATAGAAAAATATGGATATATCTGCAATAATTTATGAATCAACTTTGATAGATGATATCTACCTCTTTTCCTAGCATATTCAGCTAATCATTTCATTTCATAGGATGGTGATAGGATTTATTCGAAACGAAATTTAAATCTAACACAATGGAATGTAACTGTGGCAGAAACTGTGATCAAAACATGGCAGCGTAATTTTACCAGAAATTTATACAATCATCAATCGAATTTTATTATTGACCAGAAAAGTGATGCGAAAATTGTTCATCGTCGCATACATCCATTAGCATCGACATCAGTAACCGATATGCTAGAACAATTTTGCAAATTCAATTATAGCATCATTTTTATTGGGTAAATATTTCTTAATGAAATTATCCGACAAAGAAAAGAATAATTTTTTTAGAATGAACTGTAGAAATAGAAATGAACGTCGATCAAGTTTAGCATTCTAATCTTTGTGGAATCATTTTATTGTAATTAGCAATCAGTAACTATCTTAATAAATGAGAATGGAATGGATTCGTTTCAAAATTTTTTTGGAATTACCGAACACAAAAACTAGAATTGCCCAGAAATGTGTTGAATGACTTTGCTCGGAATTAAACAGCGGCTTCCGGAAAACTATCAAATCGGTGCAATAAGTCAAATTATTGGTTCAAGATTTTGATAGTTATGCCGAAAGGACATTAAGGAAATGATATTGCTCGACAAATCAGTTTGCCACATTAAACTCTGATGGACTAATTAATCATTCTAGATACTTTCTGATGTTGATCTATGCATTACAAGCTCAAATGAAATGTCATGGATGCATGCTAGCTGTTGATTCATGCATAGGTTTGGCCTTTGCTGGTGTCTTAACAGTTACCTTTGCATCGATCGCTGGCTTAGGTCTATCCACATGGCTGGGTATCGAATTCAATGCTGCTACTACTCAGGTTAAATTTTGTTAGGTTTCGATTTTAAATACTTGAATTTATAGTATGATAATAAATCTTGAAATTAGTGGTTTCGATGTTTGAGGCAAATTTAATCGATGAAGTTAATTGAATTTAATATTACCATTCAGTTGACATTTAAATTTCTCATTGTTATTTAAAAAAATTTAACATAATTTGCCACTTTCACATTACTAATTCAATATTGATAGCTTCATTGACAAATTTCTCCGCTGACTGTTGCTTTTATCAAGAATATTGAGCAAATTTTAGTGAGTTATTTTCAGATAGTGCCATTTCTAACGCTTGGTATTGGCGTGGATAATATTTTTCTCTTGTTGCATAATTATCACAGTGTAATGGATAATGTGAAGAAGGATGAAGTCGGTATATTAATGAAAGAAACCGGTATGAGTGTTATGATGACATCCATCAATAATATCCTTTCATTTCTTGCCGGAACATTGTTGCCAATTCCCGCATTACGTGCATTTTGTGCACAGGTTTGTTTTTAACTCATTAAATTTGATTTCGACTTGAAAGGCAGTGTTAAAGTAAAATTAATTCTTGAAATATACCGAATAGCATTTGATGGGAGGAATTAGTCATTCTATGTTAAGGTCTTTCTTTATATCTAAAATGATTTTTAATTATTTAGAAGAAAAAAAGTATGCGTCTTTTTTTGAGGGAAGGATGTTTTTGTATGTAATTCTGTAGCATTTTGCTTTTAAATTCAAATTCGTTTTAGTCATCCATTCTTCTGACGTTTAATCTTATTGCTGTGCTTACGATTTTCCCAGCAATCATATCGATTGATTTATGTCGTCGCAAAAGTTTTCGTCGAGATATTTGTTGTTGCTCAGTGATAAGTTCATTTGCAAGAGAAGGTAGTTATATGATTGATGTTGGTGTCAAACCACATATTCAAGTGAGTATTATTCAGATATTTGAAAAATCTTTTAGCTTTTTTGTATTTGTAGAATAATTTCTAGTAAATGAGCACTTAAATAGGATGAAAGAGGATATTTTTATTTAGCTATATAGTAATTATCGTAAAGTGTATGCAAGAGCAGAAAGAAAGGTCAATTCATTGCTGTATTAATAATTTTAATAAATATATTAATTGATTATTTTATATTTATTAGTCTAGCATTGTTCTAGACTATTAAATTTTATACTAACTTGATTTAGCTCATTCCACGTAAAAATTACAGGAGAAATTGACAGTTGGTGGAACAGTGCCTTCATATCATAATCTATACTCTCCTAATGATCGTAGCGATGACATGGAGGATGATTTGGTGAAACCTTGGACCCTTCATGCTTTCCTACGACATTACTATATACCGTTCTTAAAAAAGGGAGTAGTTAAAGTGGGTATTATTTTTTTTCTTCTACAATTTTTTCTTGATCTTATTTGGAAATTACCCCGTATTGTTTTTATGCACTTTTATATTTTATAATGCCAAATTAGAAAGTTAGAACATGAACATGAACTATATTTTCTGGGAAATTTGATAAATATGAGATTTGAATTTGCTTAGTTTAATGCAATAGTGATATTAAAATCATAATAATTAACTTATGTGAAACATTACCAATTTTGTTTTTTTTTTCTTTTTTTCAGAATTTTTTGTTGTTTCAGATATTTGTCATATTGACTTGCTTATGCTTGTTATTTGCCGGATTAATTGGATTGCGGAACACTACGTTTGGTCTTGAAATGAGCGATGTGTTGCCTGATCAGACAGCACCGGCTGCTTTCTTGAAAGCTCGGGATCGTTACTTCAGCTTTTATCCAATGTTTGCTGTATTACGTGGACCAGGCATTGACTATGCAAAAAATCAACACAAAATCGATGATTATCGTTTAACTATTGGTAAATTATTCTTTCATTTTAATGAATAAAGATTGGCATTGAATATGTGATCCAATTGTTTTTGATGCTTCTGAAAGAAAGCTGAATTTATTGAAATCTTGAGATGAGTTACTAGATAAGCTACTGGAATGTTACTAAGAAAACGGCTGCAAAATCTTGCATTTCAACTTTCATCCATATTCATTTAATCCAATCACTTTCCATATATTCATTTTATTTTTATCCTTTGTAAGCAACTTTTTCCCTAATTTGTTACCGATTTTAGGCAGTTCTCCTTTCGTTGTAAAAAACAGTGAGAAGGAACCAAGCGAGAGATATTGGTTATCAATGTTAAGGATTTGGCTGCAGAATTTACAACAAAAGTTAGATCAGGCGATAGCTGATGGTTTGGTAAATTTTTGAAACTTTGAAATTAAAATTTTATGCTCGATTTCTGATTTTGCGGTTTTTAAAACTTATTTGTTACTATGAATGGAAATTATTACTTTATCTTGCAAAATGGTTGAAAATTGTTTCAATAAAGATTGATGCTTCAACGGGTACAATTGCGGGTGAAGGAACCGATTTTGTGGGAGAAACTGAAAAATTATCGACTGATGTCAATATTGCTTATCGATTAGCATGTAGCTATGGATACACGTATAACTGTACCGGTCGTGTAAGTATCTTATCTAATGATTCCATTAAGAAGACTTATTATGCATGACATGTGACTGTCACATTGGTTACATTGTAGATGACATTTAAAAAAAAAAAAATCAAAACATGGATAAATTATTTATGAGAAAATTCAAAGCAACTTCATAATGTTTGTTATATTTGCAGATTGGAAGAGTACGTTTTGTAGATGAAAGTGGAACAATTAATATGGAAAGTTTTTACAACTACTTAACAGCTTGGTATAATTCTGATAAAATGATGTATCATGTATCACTTGCTTCATTCATTCCTTCACCACCGGAATGGACGATTGAAAATAAAACTCGTTTGATTCCACCAGCAGGTCCATTCGAGTATAGCCAAATACCCTTTTATCTTACAAATCTATCCAGTACACCAGTTATCATCGAGATGGTTAAAGTTAGCCATTTTTTTTTTTTTTTTTTTTTCGTCATTTTAATTTTTAATACTTTTTTTTTCATTTTATATTTGACTTTAATTGGACATTTTTTAATATTTTTTTTAGAACATAGTGCTATTCGTTTTTTGTTAGCATAAGTGAATTATGGTTTAATCAAAAACGAACTTCTTTTTTTCAGGAGATTCGTGCTATTTGTGATGAATTTACTGCTAATGGTCTGCCAAATTTCCCCACTGGAGTTGCATTCACATTTTGGGAACAGTATTTACATCTGAGCGGCAATCTTTTCCAAGCTATTTGTGTAATAGCATTTGCTGTATTCTGCGTGATTTCTATTATTATATGCAATCCATGGGCTGCCGGTTAGTAAATTTTCATTACATATTTTCATCCAAATTTCATTATATTTTCAAATTAATCGCAGAATTAGAAAAAAAAAAAAAAAAAAAAAAGATTACAAGAAAAAAATTTCTAGTTGTGTTGTCATTATTGATTTTTATATCTTTCAATAAGAAGTTATATTTTAGGCATTATTTTGATAATTTTGCTGCTAATGACAGTCGAACTCACAGGTTTTCTTGGTTTAGTTGGTATCAAACTGAATCCTATCTCAGCTGTAACAGTTATTACTGCCGTTGGTATTGGTGAGTCTTTTTTATACTTTGTTTTTGAGTGATGATGGAATTTTTAAATTAAAATTAATAACCTAATTAGATTAATTGAAGTTTGCTTTATTGTTGGAATTTTTGTTTAAACTTAAAAATCTCTTGGTAATTAATATAATCAGCATGATTTTATGGGATATTAATCAACAATCAGTCATTAAATTACTTTTTATTTGTATTATTAAATTTCTGAAAACGTCATCTTCTAAAGAGCTATGTAGTACAAACTATTCTGCTTCTCTATCACGTTAGACTTCATTCAAATTTCAATTTTAGCAAATACTGGCAACCTATAAACCGGGTAAATTAAATGTGTTTTTGACGTGATTTTTTCATGAAATGTATGTGAAAAAAAGAAATTCGCTGTATAAAATAATCACACAGTCATGATAATCATAGAAATGAATTGAATTTGATTCAACTTTAATTTAATTGAAGTGGTTTTTTAGGAGTGGAATTTACAGCACATGTTGTGCTGGCATTTTTGACATCACTTGGTACTCGAAATGATCGAATGGCATCCTGCATCGATCGTGTTTTTGTTCCTGTTATTCATGGTGCTTTCTCGACACTGCTTGGAATTATTATGCTTGCTTTTTCGGAATTTGAATTTGTTGTGAAATATTTTTTCATAGTAATGACAGCATTAATTTTTATCGGTGTTATCAATGGTCTTGCTTTGTTACCAGTTTTACTTTCACTTATTGGACCACCATGTGAGGTTAGATGTTACAAAATGGAGAATCTTTCATTGATTTCATTACAATATTCTTTAATTTCGGAGATAAATTTATAGCGAATTGAAGTTTCCAAAATTATTGCAATATAAATTGTGTTGAATAAATACGATAGAACACAGTGTTGTCTAAAATTTTCGTTTAAAAAAAATAAGATTTTTGTTAAAGAAATGTTGAAATTTAAAAATTTCCAGATTGAACCGTTGGATGGAAGCCATCGTTTGTCTCCTCCACCACCGCTACAACGACGGATACAACGGACAGTGCAAGAATCACAAGTACATCGACGTAACTGTTCAGATGATAGTAATACTGCCACTCTTGGTTCTGAAAATGTACGTTTTTCATTGCTAATTGATCATGTTTAAATTTTTGTAACACTTTTAATTAATATCCGAAATTCTCACCAATTTTTTGAATGAATTTTTTTAATCTTTTCTTTTCTTCTAGTATTTTCGCCTTCCATTCATTTTCATCGCTTTCAAATTTCAGTTTAATTTTTTAGATAGTAGTTTTTTTTTGACATTAGTTAAAACTAAACTTTTTTTCATTCAGTGCAGTACAATGCTACTAATATCGCCACCGCGAAGTGGTAATGGTGGTTTATCGGGTGCACCACGACTGGTTCCAAATAGTCATGCTCGGTCCGCAAGTGCTCATATCGTATAAATTATATGACATTTTGCTTTTTTATCCTTCTCTTATTTATTATTCTCATAGATGGATGATTTTTGAAGAAAATTAGTGCAGTCATAATTACGTTATGTTGCTCTGAAATTGTGAGTGAAACACTTTTGATCAAAAATACTGAAGTAGTTATTATTTTCTTGCTAAATTCTGCGTAAAAAGGTTTATTTATTATTTCAATTTCTTTTTTTTTTCCTTTTTTTTTTCTTTTTGTTAGCTGAAATTTCCAGAATTAGAAATTTTTCCGCACAGTCAATTTTACAGATATTGCTCGTTTCAATAATTTATGTTTCCATTATCATCTGTGATCTCACACTCGCCCAATCTCTCCATTTCCCCTTCCTCTCAATTTGTATAATTGAAAAAAATCTGAATTTTTTTCTCTCTTTTTTTTGATTAGTTTGAGATGATTTATCAAATTGCGGATGATTTCTTTTTCTTATCGATTACACTTAAACTAATTCAGTATTCAATATTTCTAGATTTTAGGAAGTTTTCTTCATGCCCTGAAGGAATCATTTTAATTCACAGTAGTTTTTTTCAATCTCTCTTTATGTATTGTATTTTCCCACGAATTCTCATTTTTTGAAAAATTTCTGTGCCATTAACTTATGATTTTCTAGATAAGAGGATTGTTTTATGATTATTTTTTAGATTTCTTTTTTTTTTTTTTTTTTTGATTTTTTTAAAGTACAATTTTCTTTTTGTGTCTCTCTTTTTTCCTGTGCAATCTATAAATCAACCGCAATTGCTCAGAGAAAGATTAAAATTGAGGAAGGTGAAAAAGGAATGGATTGAACGGGATTTGCTGGGATCTATTATACGGGTGATTTAGCTCGTTTGATCATCTTATGGTCATCCTTAATTTGTTTCAATATTGCACTATTATTATCAAAATTTTTTTATCAAAATTAGAAAAAAAAGACGACTCATGCCGATTATATATGTATGTATATATATCCGGTATGTACATAAGTTTTCAGTATTTCATGATTTGTAATATCTTTTAATACTTGACATTTTGGTGATATTTTTCCCAAATAATATGATTTGAGGAATGAACATGACAAAAATTGCGGTATTCTCAAATACCGAAAAAAAAACCTTTTTTGATGTTGATTCATCGTTCAATTATGATCATTATTTTTCATTATCAATATATAAATGATCTGTTGATTTTTTTTTTTTTTTTTAATTAATTAATTTTGAATGTGAAATAAAATTAGTCATCGATGAATCTCATCAAATCGTTTATGTATTTATTGATTGATTGTTTGATTTGTTGTTTATATATATTTTGTATTATTGTGAGAACAAAATTCTCCCATTTGAGCTTATCATTTCTTTCTATTACTGATTATTCCGGTAATTCGTATGCAAATGCCTGAATCATTCTCTTCCTTTTTTTCTCTTCGTGTTATACTTTTTTTCTGGAAATCTTTTTATATGACTTCAATCCAGTAACAACCATCTATGTTTTTATTTTTTCAGATATGTTTGAGCACATACTTTAAATCACTGTTTAGTTCATAGGGTTAAATTCTATGTATTTTAAATTTAACCGAAATATTTCAGTCATATTTAGAGATGGTATCTTGACTTATAATTTCATTAAGTATAATTGTCCAGGCCTTTTAGGTTTGGGGTGAATATTGTGTAGTCTTTCAAAATGTTATTTAGCTCCGGTAAATGTAATATCTTACTTTATTTTTGTTTATTTTCGGACAGACTGTGATTTTAATGTCTTTTCAAACTATGTTCTTCTAAGATTTTTATTTATTTATTTATTCTTTTATTTTACTTACTTTTTTTTTTTTTGGAATTAGTCACTTTTTTTGGAGAAAAAACTTTCTGGAGAAAGTTTAGATATTAAAATTCAATTACAGGCATAAAACCTCGACGATGTTCTTTATAAATTAGTTGTTTTTTGATTCATATCTCAATCATATAGGAATTTGCACATTCGTTATTTTGCTCTATCGAATAATATATTATTTTTAATTGATTTGTTACTTGTCTTTTGCGTTTCTTTTTTCTTTTGTCCAATTCTATGCTTTTTCCCTATTTAAAATAATTCAGTTGTTTGTTCGAAATTTATATTAATAAGATTTTTATTAAGATTTCAATTCATTTTTTTTCGTCTTATTTTTTTATTTTTTCTCGATGGATAAACATCTCAAATGAAAGAATAAAATGTTATGCTTGTGACTGACCACAGAAGTAACAAAATTCATCCATCGATTAGAAAGAAATCTTAAAAACATATGGAAATTACTGAATAATTTATTCAATTGATTTACTATGATAAACATTCATACTAACTTTGGTTTAGAAAATATGTGATAGCTTTGTTGATATAACTTTATCAGAAACGATTGAAAATTTTTTGTCTTTGTAATCCTAATATCCTGATATAGATCGATTTATTTAATATGAATGATTAGATTTATGAACATTTTTCTTGTATTTACATTCTATCGGAATAATTATTCACATCCAACAATGTTTTCCCCTTTTTTTTGATAAGAATAGCAATATTTTTAATCCAATCAATCAATAATCTATTCCATTGCATTGTGTGATTTCCATATGTTTGCTAAACTTTTAGATTATTTTTATAACGTAATGAAATCAATTTAATTAACTATTTAAATCATTAAGTTTGCTATGTTGTTATATCGATAAGTGGTGCGTTCCTTTCACTGGGATAGTTGATGTGAAGGCCGAGTTGACCGATATAAAATATCTTCAAACCGATTCTTCCTGAATTATAGTAGGAATATGGGATGTAAATTGTAAACTGTCGGTAGATATCCTGAAAAAGAAGTGATGCTTTCATGTATTGCTTAAATATTCAGGTATTTTTCATGAAGAGAAACAATATTCGCACTCCAATTATTTCACATTTAATTAGTTTTATTCATCATTAATTTTCTTACCTTTCGATTTCTTACCTTACTTTCCCTAAATAGCTTATAAACATAAATGGTATAATAATATACTACTGGTAATTGAGTTATAGTTGAACAATTGCTTCAAAGTCTTATGGTAATTTCTCAATTAATCTTTCGAATACAGTAATTTCAATTTAGGATTTTTCCGAAATTTAATATCAAATTATCAATTGATCAAATCAGTGATATCAATGTATCAGTAACCTTTTGTCGTTCATAAAATGTCATACCACATTGATGATTTATCACTAAAATAGGTTTCTGAAGTATTGTCTGTCCACTGGATAGTCGAAAAGATCCCTCATTATTTGGTTGTTGTTCAGTGATAAAACTATTCACTTCTAAATAATTGCTTATAAGAGATCGAAATTTATAGGAAGGAGAAAAATTTTTAGAAGCAAATATGAGAGAATTTTATTTTAAGAAAAATTTAACAATTTCATTTATTAGAAATTATAATAAATTATTAGCATAAAATGAATTTTCAAATGAAAAAAAAAAATTATATTTCACATATTTATCGCAAACTTTAATTATTGCAAATTTAATGGGTAATTCTTTCAGTTTTTTTTTTTTTACATTTTTGATTTTCTTTAAGAAATTCTAACTTATTGATTGAAGAAAAATTTAGCATTTTAAACATTTCAAACTTGTAAACTCAAAAATGAACTTTTAAAAGTCTAATATCATATGATAACACATTATCTACTTTTTAATTTCTTATTTTTGAAATCTTCAAAAAAAAAATGATAATATCACCTTGCTTATCAGTTGAAAATAATCGTACAACACTTGTTGATATATTGTAATGGTCGCCGGTACAAAATAATTTACCACTAATTTCGAGCGCTAAAGTACAAAAAAAAAAAAATTATTAACAATTTCAGTTTTTAGAAAGAAACAGTTTGAGCTGCTCAAATATTAAAAAAAAGTGTAACAATTTAAAGTTTATGCGATACAAAGTGCTTTTTTTAAATAAGAATTTAAATACTTGATTTTAGAGTATTTAAATTTACTTATTAATATATGTGTGAGTATAGGAAGTTGGAGCGCTATATTAATATTATAATATAATAATTACTTTTTACATTACTGCTAATTATAATTGATAGATAATTAATCATAATTAATATAGAAAATAATTGATAAATAATTTATCAATTAACGTTTTATATAATCTCAAGCATTTTATGATTGCCTGTACAATCATATAAAATTCCTTACGTAATAATAAATCTAACATAAATGAATTTAAATCATTTATTGTGGAAACAAAGAATATTATTTGGAACTTTTGTATTATTAAGATATTTGAACAATAATATTAGGATTAAGAAACTAAGAATTATAGTAAAAAACAAAAATTATAAATTTTAATTAGAATTTAATTTTGAGATTGAAAAAAAAAAATTTTTAAGCGATATTAATTACAACAATTGTAATCGATTGAATAAAGTAAAACTTACGTTTATTGAAATGAATAAATTTGATGCCATCTTTTTGACCTGGATAATACAATTCCAAATTAATAGTACCAATATGAAATGATTCATTGCTATTAATAAATTGTTCAGGAATTTTAATAATAAATCGACGATATGTTGCATTCTAAATTAATATCAATAACATTTATTAATTCTAATTTCATTTCTATATTCATTTTTCTTCTCTTTTTTAAATTGATAAATTATAAATTAATTGAGAAAATTAAATTAAAATGAATAAATGACTAATATATAATGTATTCAAAAAAAAAAAACAATTCAGTAGTTTATTGAAATATTTTTCTTTTATAATTAAAAAATCCTTGTTGAAAAAATAATTATAAACTAAATAAATTTAATATCATTTGATTTCTAAATTCTTTCTTATCAAATTTTATTTTCTGTTATATCCTTAATGATACTAACTGATTATTACTGTTCTTTTTCTTATCACATGAATGAATGAATTTCTTTTATGTATTTCAATCATTTGCGTTAAAATTAATTCATGTTTTTTCCTTTTTTTGTTCTGTTTTTTCTTTTCCGGAAATGAATGTCAAAGAAGAGAAAGAAGAAAATGAGATTTGAGGAAGAAATAAAAAAGGAAAGATTGAAAAAGTGATAGAAGAGGAGAATGGAAAGTTAGCAAAGTTTGAGAAATGATAATTGTCATTTTGTCAAGAAATGAATTACATAGATGAGTCTATTCAACATTTCAGAGAGAGAGAGAGAGAGAGAGAGAGAGGGAGAGAGAGGGAGAGAGAGAAAGCCAAAGAATAAATTAACTTGATTTAATCTTATCAGACAATATGCTCTTCCTTTTTTTTTTTCTTTTTCATTTTAAAATCCATTAGTGAGATGAGTAGCCAATAAACAATCATTCTAGTTTGTTTATTCTTTTTTTACTCTTATAATTAAGTTAAAATTCTAAGCAAAACTGATATAAAAATAAAATTTAGTGTTATTTCTTTTCTTTCGTCCCTCTCTCTCTCTCTCTCTCTCTTTCACTTCCTTCCTCTCTTTCTTTCCACTCAAAATATATTAGAATACTGTAAAATTGTAAATTTTGAAATTAAAATTTGAAATTAAAATTGAAATGCAGTTTCTAATTTATGACTATTCATTGTGTTAATTTAAACATTATTTTTACATCATATTAAAAATTAACATTTAAAAGTTAGCCACAATAGAATCAAATGATTTTTAATAATGAAATTAAAAAAAAAAAAAAAAGTAATAGTTGAATTTTTAAGTTTCATCTTCTTTTTTTTTTTACAAAATTTTACTAACTTTCCGTTTTAGTTGACCACATTGATGATAGATAACCAATACAGGACGAAATGATATGATAAAATCACGATTTTCACCATTCAATTCAAAATTACCCTCTTCCCATGATTCACTTCCATCCACAATATAATTGATTTCTGTAAAATAATCACTCTCAATGTATAAATATGAATAATTTTATATTTTTCGATAAAAGAAAAAACGAAAAATCCAATTTGATTTTTAAATTAATTAAAAAAATAAAATTAATTATTTGATAAAAATTTTCTTTCCCTCTCTATCTTATCTGAAAAAGAAAAAGCAAAAATAACCATCACTGATGCTATTTTTAATATCTGTTTAATATTATTCATTTTTCAATTTTTTATTTTTTAAATGGAAAAAAAAAATCAAAAGAAAAACAGAGAGAGACAAAGAGAGAAAGAGAGAGAGAGAGACTTACTTTGCCTGAAACAAATAAATTGATCCTTCTTCCATTTACTCTCTTAAAATACTTTAATGGATTAATTGCGCTATTTATTTGCTATATATGTAAGAGAGAAAAAAAAAGTTCTTTTTGTTATGCTAAAAGCCGTAGTGGTACCAATTGGTACCATAAATCTAAAAAAGAAAACTATAATGAAGCAATGAAATGAATTTTGAAATTAAAAAATTCTATGTGCAAAATGATTTTCGTTTTTCTTTTCATTTAGAAATACATTTATTTTAGGCATTTATTTTTTTTTATAAACCTTATACATATTTATTTTCATTTCATTTTGTTAATTTCAATTGTTTTATTAATTCCAAAAAAAAAATTGTGTTTGGTAATTTTTTAAAATTTTTGATATTTCATCCTATTAGTAAAAACTATAATGTTACTGCTAATTTAAGGCTAAATTAATAATCAAATTTTTAGCCTATAAATTAAAATTAATCTCTTAAAAGAGAAAGTATCTGATAAGAGATCAAAGAACAACTCGCATATCATTTGATAATATTTATCTCTCCACTCGATTGGTCAAATCATAAATGAATTTTAGTACTTCAAATTAATGCTTATTTTATTAGCTATGTAATAATTAAGCCAAGCTATTATAGTTTTTCTGGTCAAATTTACTTTCTTTTTCTTTTCTTTTTTTTGGTCAACCAATTTTCACTTTCTAATCATACAATTTTCATCCTTTTTTCTTCTTTTTTTTTTAAAAAAAAAGACTTAAATTCTTTTCTTGCATCAAAATTTTTAATTATCTCACAATTTCAGATAATTGTCACATTTTTATTGGTGACATATTCCACATAGACATTGTTATATTTTAATCAATTCCTTCTATTATGCAAAAAAAGAAACAAGAACAAACGATTTACAGTATTTGTTAATAGTAGTACAAATATAAATTTATATCATTTATCAGTTATCATATTTCAACTTTCATTTTCATTTATTAAAATTTAATTTCCATTTTTTTTCTTTCTTATCACACAATATTATTAGTAAACAAAACCAAAAATAAACAAAGAATGCTAACAGCCAAAAAAAAAAAACCCTCAAAAAATAATCAAAATCTAAACAATACCATTACTAAAACAAATTAACTTACTTATTCTTAAAACAGATAAAAGTAAATAAAAAAGAAAGAAATAAAACAAATGAAACACACTCTTTTTACATAAAACATAGATATAAACCATAAAATAAACTAATAATAATAATAATAATAATAATAATAATAATAATAAAGAAAGAAATTAAACAAACTTCAAAATTATAATTAAAAATAAAACTTAAAAAACAAGTATGCTCATTTTGATCTGTTCATATTTATTTTTGTATAATTATAAGTTAATTAATCTCTTTTTATTAATATTTCTTTTATTTATGAATAATTTAAAAAATTTTTAGACTTCCATATGATAATTTGAGTATTTTTTTGATATTAAATTCAATAATTTGGCATAAAATATTTCACTCATAATTTCTGCTTCCCTTTAAAAAAAAAAAAAGTATATTATAATTTTGCAATCATTGCATTATACTGCAATTTTATGTTCTTTTTTAAAAGAAAGAAAAAAAAAAAAAAACTTCAAGAATTCATCAAATAACGTTTAAATCTTTTTTTTTTTTTAAATAATTTTTGTTTATTGTTAAACGGTAAAATTATTCGATTTAAAATCTTTCGTCTATTTTTTTATCAAATGTTATCTGAATAAACGACTGATATAATTTGTGCAAAGATAATCTGGTGAAAGAGAGAGGAATGTAGAGAGAGAGAGAGAGAGAGAGAGAGAGGGAGGGAGAGGGAGAGAAATGGATAATTTTAAAAGGTTTTATGGAAAGCAGCTAATGCTATTGTCAAGCATTTATTCATCCATTCATTTGACTCTATTCAGTTAGATGAAATTTAATAAAATCAAAAAAAGTTATATCACGTTTTCCTTTTTTTCTTTCTTTTCTTTTTTACGCTAATAAACAAACTTATATCACTTTTATAATGCTAACAAGAAGAGTTCAAATCCACGTTTGTTTATATTAACAATGAAATATAACAAACGTAACAAAATGTTTTCGTCATTTGTGTTTTAGTTGTTTAGTTTGAAAGAATATTATTTGATCGTTAGCTATTGGCATATTTTAATAGCTTTATTAAATAGCAATAATTGATATTATATTTTGTCATAGATCAATTAAAATTTAACCATTGACATGTATAATCATTAAAATTTTTATGGTATTATTTAATAAATTAAAAATTCAACCAGAAATGATACTTTTTTTATGCTTAAAAAAAAAGTTCAAAAAATAATTTCAAATGATACACACATAAATTTGCATAATCTTACTTGTCTTCATTAACTCTTGCAATATTTGAATATAATCGTACTTTTGCCGTTTTATATGGCACAGTTTGATAGCGACAAAAGAGAGTACCCTTAGAGCTAATATGATTGTTTATTTGAGATTCAAATGATTTCAATTGTATCTTTGAATCAATCGATTCATTAATATACGATAAATCATTATCATTTGAATTAATCACTAGAGGTAGATCATCAATAAAGGTAGCTTGAATTCCGTTAATAACTGTTGTAGTGGTAGTGATAATTGTAGTAGCATTGATTACATTGCTAATAATTGTTGAGGCGGAAATGTCGTTTGCAATTGCATCATCAAAATGCTCAGATGATTTTAATAAAATTTCAGTGTTAGTTGAACAAATGAAAATTTCCGCATAAATTGCAAATATAAATGATAGAAATTGTACAGAAAACATTTAGAAATGAAAAATGCTGCAAAAATAAAGTTAGCAAATAACTTTTATCCCTTTTTCCTCTTTTTTCTTTTTTTTCTTTTAGCAATATTTTTTAAAGTAAACAACTGTTTAACAATGATAAATTATTATTTGAAAAAAAGAAATTACAATCAATAATTTGTTAATGAATGAATTTAAATTGAAATGGTAATGAAAATGGAGAAAAAGAAAATAGAATTATTATAAATGGATGCTATGATATTTTGGAGAGAAAAAAGAATTTCTTTTTTTTTTTTTTTTTGTTAATCATTGAAGCATAAATTATAATATATTTTAGAAAGCTTAAAATTTGGAAATTTTTTTTTTGTAGAAATAAAAAAAGATGAAAGAAACGGTGGAAAAAAGAGAGAATGATTAAAGTTTTTTCTTTTTGAAGAAAAAAAAAATATATAAAATGAACAAACGAGAATAATAAGTTTACATTTAAGTGTATTTAAGAGTTGCAAATTGAGTAAGTAAAATAGTTTGTTCTATTTTTCGTTTCAATTTTAACAAATTTATGTGTATATGTTTCCTTAAGGTATTTCCATTTTATTTGATAAGTAAACAAAATCGACAATTAGACTTCCATTGTGTAATTTTGTCCAATCTTTAAATTATTACATCAAAAAATTTTTCGAATATGAATTGATGAATTGAGAGCAAAAAATAAAAAAAAAAGGAAAGTAATCGTAATAAATAAAAAGTACAAATTTTCAATTATTCATGAATGAGTTAAATAATCCTCGGCTAACTAAGCTATGATATTTTATTTGTTTTAAAAATAGCAAAAATTCAGTTTTATATAAGCAAAAAAAAAAAGTAAAGTTTTTCTTGTTGAATTGATTTATTAAATTACTGTATTCTGTTATGATAAAGTATGAGAAATTTATACAAATGGTTAATTAATTAGTAGAAATCCAGTAATTTGTTAAAAAAAAAAAATTTGGTCGTTTCTTCTTTGTTTGGAATTAGTATTTATTTTGCATAAAATTTGATTTAAAATGGAAAATTTGATGAAAATGAAGTATTAAGTGCTATTACTACTGCTATTACTTATAATAAATTATTATGATTTAGCTATAAGTAATAAAATCCAAAAAGAACATTTGAGAAATTTCAATTTAATTATGGATTAAACAAAATATGACAAATACTTTGCTAGGAAATTTACAAATTATCTAACTTACTTTCTTTTTTTTGAAATAAATTTGATTTTTTTTTCTTCAAAATGTCATACGACAAAAGTATAACAAATTTTTTGTCTTAGATAACATTTGAATTTTCATAAGCTAAATGAAAAATTTTTCCTTTTGAATCATATGAATCTGTTAGTCTGCCAAAATATATTTGATACGGTCATTTGCGCTTCATTTTTTCTGTGATTAATTCCATTTAATTAATATAAGTGAATTATTAAAAAAAAAAACATAGAGCCAAGAATGCTAAATGTACCTAAAGTTAAGCATCGAGTATAAATTTAAAAAAAAAGGTCGAATTTAATTTTTTTTCCTGACAGCTTACTATTCATCTATAATTGATTTAAAATTTCTTTAACTGATAACAATTGATAACTTATCTATGATTTAATTTATATATATCTGTATAACAGTGTTTAGAGTAATAATTCATATATTAATTCTTTTTGTTTTCTTTTTACCACAACAATTTTTGTTTTAGTTTTTGATTTTAACATTTTTCATTTCATAAAGTGATATATTTGTCGTTTTTTTTTCATTTTTAAAAGCTATAAATTTTAAAAAGAAATCCAATAAGCGTCTAAATAAGCTTAAGTTTCTGAAGCATCCAGAAAATGAATGATTAACAATTTTTCATAAAATTCCTTCGTCTTTTCGTTATTTGTCATCAATTTAAATGCTCCATTTCCACTTGTTTTTTTTGTCTATTAAAACAAAGTTTCAAAACGAATAGCTCATACTCTCATTCAAATTAAAAATATTATCATTGAACAAAAAATACTAAATATTATACTGAAATATCAAATACCATTTGCGCCAAACTATTTATGCAAATTGCATTACAGTTATTAAAGATATTATTCGTAGCAGAAAAAAAAAGTTTCACTTTTAAATTCATTTTCCTTCTCCGTAATGAATTTTGAGGTAATTAAAAATGTGAGATAAATTTACCTAAACATAATTACTGCCTTTGACGTATTGACGTAATATCCACCATCTGAACAGACTTTTCTCGTTAAGTTAAACGTAATGATAATAAAATTGAAATTGATAAAATCTTGCAATTAGCAAGAAAAAATAAACTGATAATATTGATAGGAGTGATAAGTAATCAAATCAAAGCCGTTATAAATCTGATAAATAACGCATTTTTTGTTTTGAAATAAAATAATTAATTGATTTAGTATTATTATTAGTCATTGATCAAAATCAAAAATTTAATAAGTAATTAAGTTTGCTTCTGTTCATTTTTTTTCTTTGCAGATCAATCAATTTACTATCAACTTCTGATCATCTTAGTTTTATTTTTTTTTTTTTTTTTGTAGAAGAAATTTCCTTTTTTTTTTTTTCAAAATTTTGCTGTCTAACATTTCAGAATAATTACTTTTAGCTATTCAATGATAGCTAATGCTAAAAAACTAATTTAAATGTAGAAATTAACTGTTCGTTAAACTTTCTTCGCCTTATTTCAACTTCTTTCTTTCTTTTTTCTTTTTTTTACGATTGGATAAATTTCATCAGAATTTTACAAAATCAAATTTTATCTGAAATATGCAGAAGTTTTTTTCTTTAAAAAAAACTTATTTCTTTTTGCAAATAAACACAATTTCATGCTGTCTTTTTTTCTCTCAACCACTAAAGTGTTAAATTTCTTTTTTTTATTCTTTAACTTAAAATTATTTGTAAAATTTTAAATTTAAATTGCTAGATGATGTTTTTTTTTTATTCATCTATAAGTTACTGAATAAATTTATAAGTATTAAAAATTTCTCAGCATTAATTATAAGAAATTTTAGATGAATTCTTGAAGACTTTTTTACATCGTTAGCTTAAAATAGGAAGCATAAAATTCTCAGATGGATTTAATTTTTTTTTTTTTGTTTTTGCTAGATAACAAGTTGAGAATTTGAAATTCTTTGATTTCTGCAATAATTTTTATTTCTAACACAAGTACTTAAAAAAAATTCTTACAGTAGATGTTGAAAAAAATCAATCAATACTTTGCTTTTTTTTTTCAATTATTTAAAAAATTATTCAGTGATAATTTCAGGTAAAAAATATTTTTGCAATTTATTATGATGAATTGGTCATCGATAAGATTATTTATTGATCAAAAGATAATAATCTAATTGAAAATGATTTTTAAAAAGATAACAGAAATCAAACATTTGTTTATTTCAAAAAATTTTCTTTCATTTTTATCTCTTTTTCTTTCACAAATATAACTCAAAAATATTTTAGAAACTCTTAACTAGAGTAAAGTTTACACTAAAAATTTTTTTTATTTGTTAATATTACACTAAAAATTTTGTTAAAATTTGAGGTGCAAATGTAACTTTGATTTAAACTTATGAAAATTATTATTGAAATGTGACATATAATTTACTCAAATTTCGTTTTTCTAATCCAAATTTTTAATTCTTTTTTTTTTCCCTTTCTTCAAGGATTAAAATGTTACTTTTTTTGAGAAAATATTTCAACCAATTATAACTACAAAATTTTTCATTATAATTAATAATAAAAAAAATTTTTTTTCAATAAAAATAAAATTAATAATAAAAAAATATAAATCTTTGATAGTTGTCACTTGTAGTTATTTATTTTATTATTATTTGATTTTCATTTAAAAATAGCATACATCATCTCTCTCTCCCTCTCTTTCTCCCTCTCTCTCTCCCTCTCTCTCTCCTTCTTCCAATTTAATGACCCTAATTAATTTTATTCATTTCTTTTGTTAATCTAATTATTACTCATCCATTCTGAAACCGTTTTATCATTCTATCACTTATAATATCATTCTTTGAATGCGCATGCAGCTGCATTTACGTACGTGTTTTGCAGTTAACGTGAAAAAAAGAACGTTACGTATCATTTTAATAATAAATAATATACATAGTGGTACTTACACGCAATTTTCTCAAATTTTGTAAGCGTTCGCTTTTCTCTGAGTGATAAAATGATCAATGCAATTCACATCAATTTTAGTTTTATATTATATAAAAAATTTGATCAAAAAAACAGTAAAGCATAATACTGAATGAATAGCAGTATTGATTATTTCTAGAAAAAATAATCGATAAGACAATCAATCAATAATATCATTATTGATTGATTTGACTTTAAAAGATTTTCTTAAATTTATTTGCAAATGAAAGCAAACAAGGAAAAAAGGAAACGAAAAACAAAATTTATTTAATAAGGGAAAAAAAAATGAAATTATATTAATAATTAAAAGCAGTGAATAATTTCCCAATGCATAAAATTATTTTGATAATTGTAAATGATTTCTAAAAATAGCAACAAAATTTCATTATCACTGATTATCACTGATTATGAGCGTTATCAATTGCAGTTATAAATGCAACTGTAATACAAATATCACTCATCAATGATAAGCAATTTATTATCTTTGCAAACGTTCGTTGATAACATTTCTTTTCTCTGTGTTTAATGAAAATTTGTATTTTTTCTTTTTTTTTATTTTTTAAATTTTACAAATTTGATGAAATATTAGTGAAAAATAATTTTTAGAGCAAAAAAAAAAAAAAAAAAAAAGAAGCAGCGATATTATAAAATATATTTTGTTACAAATATATTTTTTCAATTTATCATAGATTATTTTCTTAATTTTAATTTATAATTATTATAAATTAAATTATTCATTGCTAACAAATAATTTTAATAAATTATTAAATAAAAAATAATTTTAGCATTGTAATATGAAACATTTGAATAATATTTTGCATATTGCATATAAATCGATTTAGTTGTTTTATTTGAAACATTCATAATAATTTATTGTTTACCGAAACTCTCATATGTTTCTGGAAGTTTTCTTTTAGCAATTCTAAATCTTCCGGTATTTTCTCATAATTACTAATATTGTTTTTAATAATTTATTCTGGAAGTTATGTTTATTGATGATATTACATTCGAGTGTTATATTTTAATTTAAAATGTTTGAAACTTAAGCATAGTTTCATTTCAATTCAATCATACTCTTATTCTTATTTTTTTTTTTTTTCAAAAATAAGTTCTTTTATTTTACTCTAATTCTTTCAAAATATTTTCCTTTTTTTTCATTAAAAATTTGTTTTAATTACTTTTTAAAAAAAAAAAAAAAACAAACAAGGATTATCCTTTTAATGCTTGCATAGTTTTTTCCTTTTTTTTTTAATAAAAACAATTTTTTGATTTTTTTATGAAATGATATAAGATGAGAGTGATAAGTGGAAAATTTCATTTTTTTTTATATGAAAAAAATTAGCTAAACGATTTATTATTATATAAGATCAACTTTTCAGTCTTATCAGTTATAGCTGCTGATAATCTGATATGAACAGGTACAGGTAATCAGTGTTTGGATTGTTTGATGTAATTATGTAAATTATAAATTATCATTATTATCTGTATTTTCATTACCACAAATATTTTCATCCATCAAATACTAACATTTCAAATTTCAAACAAAATAAGCTAAGGAATAATTTTTTCTTTTTTTGATAAACTTTTGAATGCAATTTCAAAATTAAAATTCTTTCATTTTATTGTAAACAAAATTTTCAAACATTTCTTTCCTTCTTTCAAAAATAATGATAGATTATTTTTTAACTTAGTGATATTACTTCAATTAGAATAGAATTATTTTAGTGTTTCAAATTCTATTTCTGACTATTAAAGGTGCTTGTTTAAAAGTAGAAATCGATGATAATTATCAGAAATTATCCGGTTAATTTTAGCATAACTCATTTTCCGGTAGCAATTCAATTATATATTAGAAAAGTAACATAATTATCTTCTTCACATCAAAACAATTGATTTTGCTAATTTAGTTTTTTTTTTCTTCCTTTGCTAATTATATTGCGGAATAATTAGTTAAAATAGAGTATATATAGCCGAGTAAACAAAAAAAATATATAATTAATTATAAATTATTGTAGGAATATTGAATATTATTATTGTATTTTACATAAGTAACTTATTTTACTATTATTCAGTAACTTTTGATCATGAAACTATCAGCCAATAATTGTAATTGCAGTTATCACTATGATTATCATGAAAAAAATTATTATCACAGCCATAATTCTACTACTGTTAATAACAACAACAAAAAAATAAATAAATAAAATCATTAAATGATATCATATATTATTGTTTATGCAAAAGAAAGATAAGAAATGATAGATATATTAAATATGTCATAATTTAACTAAAATATGTTATAAATACAAATTGACTTTCATTTTTCTATGAAAAAAAAAGTTAAAAAAAAAAAAAAATGAAAATATTGAGAAACAAACAATAAACATTTGAAAATAACGAAAGTATTTACGTTTATTAATTTTTAATCATTTTTCATCAAATTCTTCTTTTTCTCTTTTTTTTTATTTTTTTTTATTTAGCTATTTCTAAATTAAAAAAAAAAAAAAAAAAGAAAGAAGAAAAAGCATCGTTTTTAATTTAAGTAAAAACACATTGCAACTCTTTACGTCATACTTTGTTTATATCAAATTTTTAACTTTATTAAAGCTAAATTATATACGTCGAAACATTGTAATTCGGAATGAATTTAATTCAATTAAATACTAAAGTCAAAAAGATTAATTTATCAAATATTACATAGATTTTAGCATACGGAAAACATTTCCGTTTTATTTTGAATCAGTAAAAAATTAACAAATTCTTTTATCGCTGTTATATAAACAAATAAACTATTTGATTTAGTGAAAAAAAAAAGAAAGAAAACAACAACAACGAGAAAATACACATTAAAAAAGTAATTAATTTTGTTAATTAGATGTCAAAAAAAATGTTTGATGACATTCGTTATAATATTTCTTTTTGTTTTGTGCCTTTATCTATACGAAATAATTTCTTTCCTTTTCAAAATTTCACTGTAATTCATTCTCTCTCTCTTTTTTTTTTTTTTTTTTTGGTAATAATAAATTTTGAGAAAGAAAACAAAAACAAATAAATAAATAAATTCAATAATATTATTACTATTATTAATTCTAAATTATTAAAGAAAAAGGAAAGGATTAGAAAAGTAAAAGAAAAGAAAAAGAAAACAAACAAACAAAATTAATTAAAATTTTAAGAACTCATCTTTCTTTCTCTCTTTTTCTTCATTATCCATTCAAAACGATGACAACAACAATGACAAAATATGAATGAATTATGTGCAAAAGCGCTTTTATATAATTTTCTTTCTTTTTTTTTCTTTTCGCTAAATGTTTTATCACTTTTGAAAAGTTAATTTTATCATTTAAATACTGAATTTATGATAAGATAGGATAGATTATATTTTAAGAGATTGAAATAAATCAAAAAAAGTCAAAATTTGAGCTTTGTTTGGTATTATTATTCATTCATTCATTCTGTTTATTTATTCATTTATTACTAACATTGCTAATGTTATCATTATTAATAATCGCTATTACTATTATTAATCATTGTTTTTATTAATTATTATTGTTAATTATTACTTATCACTATTTGTTATTATTTATTACTATTATTACTGCTATTATCATTGTTGCTATTACCATTTTTACGGCTAAATAAAATGTTTCTGTGAATTAATGCAAAAACTAAAAATCGTTATTTTTATTTATAATAGTGGGAAGGGTAAGAAGTAAGCAATCGAATAGAAATATTTTTCTAAACATTAAATTAAACTTTTTTCTCCATTTTGTGCTTAGGAAATTGATTTATTCTTTTTTGATTAATAAACATTTATGAATAAAAATAGAAATTCGAATGTAATTTACTAAAATGTTCAAATTCAACAAATTAATAATTTTTTTGTAAGTAAAATTATTAAAAAGTTTGTTCTACAAAATTCAAATTCAATTAGAAAATATTTATAAACACATTGACAAATCAGAATTTCATTCCTTGTTTTCGAATAAAAATAATTATTGCAATATTCATAAACAATAAATTAAAGTAATTTGTTGCAATTTTTATTTTAAATAAATCTTTCAAATAATACCATACACAAATACTAAACATTATAATTATATTATTTATTAATTAAATATTAGAATAAACAATTAAACATCTAAGAATTGTTTAAAAATAATAATTTTGTTATAGTGAATATATTCTCATTTAATTATCTAATTTTATTATTTATAAAAAATATTCAATTCAAATTTAAGCAAATTTAAAATAATTTATAGTGGAATGCTCGAAACATTTGCGTAATTTCTTTACATCATTTATCATATGATAATATAATTCCATTTATCATAAGATAATATATTATCATAAGACATTATATGATAATGTATAAATCAGATTTATTCCGGAAATTCCATATTGCTATACATTTGTCATTACTTTATCCTTTTTTGCAAAAATTTCAGTTTAATTTCAGGATTAAAAAAAAAAGACATTGAAATATTTGCAAATAAAACTAAGATTTCAGTGATAACAACAAAAAGTTTTGCATATGTCTGCTGCTTCATCACAAAGCAATGTTGACAATTGGTATGTTTGTTATCATTATTATCATCAACAATTTGCATCTTTTTTTTTTCTCTTTTTATCATAAGAAATAATCTTTAAATTTGCAATTCAAATATTAAAATATTATTTGCAAAGAAATTTTTTAAAAATACTTTCGAATATTTAATTTGAAAATAACTATAAATTTCATTTATTTATCAAAACATTTCGTTCCTTTCTGTTTTCTATAATTTCGAAAATATTTCAATGCATTTAAATTGCTTCCGGCAAAATATATCATCGATTTAATTACATTCAACAAAATATATTTACTCACTGATTTTGTCCATTTATATTATTAGTTTTTTACTTTTCAAAGAACAAAAAAAAAAGAAAAGTAAAAAAAAAATTAAATTTGTGATTTTTTTCTTTTCATTTGTTTGTTTCTTATTTCTATGTACTAAAAAGAAAAAAAAATTAATTTTGAAAATATTTTTGAACAAATAAATTATTTGATTAAAAATTAAAAAAGAAAAAAAATTGATAAAAATTTTTGTTTTTCAACTTTTGTTATGCAACTTAAACAAATGAAATATTTAAAGTTTTAATTTAAATTTAATAAATTTTAATTGCAAATAAAATTATTATATTGAAAATTTCAGTCACAGACATTCACTAACTGTTGAACCGATACATCCGATGCATTTAATTGCTTCCGGTAAGATTCATCGTCGATTTAGCACTCAAGCAGAAGCCGAATCACAAGCGAAATTGATGAAAAAATTTTCTATAACATCGGTGAGTTATAACTCTTAGAAAATATTCTAATCATAAGTTTGTTTTAGTGATCAAAAATAAATTTATGCATTTATGGCAAAATATTTTCCGGAATGATTTTCCGGAATGAATGAGAAATAAGTTAAGAAAATAATGCTAATAATAATAAATTTTTTACTAATGAATTAATTCGTAGTATTAATCAATAATTTGGTATATATTTAAATAATATTAATAAATTAATTCGAATTTGTGTAATTTAAAAATAATTTATCAATGATTTGTACGAATATCTCAGTTTTGGAATATATTTTTATTAATAAGATAGACTAAAAATCGTAATCTTATACGATAATTTCAATGATAATAAAATAAAAATTTTTGTTGATATTATCATTTTGTAATATTTCAAAGATATTTCAGTTTAACTTATCATAAAATATTATTTATCATTACTTAATAAAAAATATTACGTACTGTTACGTATATTACGCATTACGTATAAAAAATATTGCTTATTTAAGAAAAAAAAAGACGATAAATAATTAACTGAATAGAAATTAAAATAATAAAAAGTAAAGAAAAAAAAATTTAGAGTTAATAAAATTATATTAAAAGTCAGATTTTATAATTTTACATTTCCATCATTTTCTTTGCAGGAAGGACAAAAAGATGTTTACAGCGCAGCAGTAGCTGATAAGTTGGAAGATCAAGAAGTAAATAATTTACGAAAGAAACAAAATCAACAAAGTAGAAATGATAATGAGAAGAAATAATCTACAATTTATTAAACTGATTTGAAAAATAAAACGACAAAAAAAAAGAAAGTTTTCAATAGGGAAAAAAATATATCAATTGAACAGTGATATGATAAAGAATTGAAATGTATTCTGTTATCAGTTATGCTCTTCTATTTAAATCTATCGTAATCACTATGATCTCTTTTATCAAATTCTTTTCAACTTTTTAATTTTTTTTTTTTTATTTCGTTTCAATTAATTCAAAGTATTTTTTAATTATGTATTAAAATGAAAAGTTTCTTACATTATGTATTTCATCTTTTACAATTATTTTATTTCACTTTGTATAATTATTTCGTTTACTTTGCAATTGAAGCAAATTATACGTATTTATAACACGCAGAAATAGAAATAACAAAGACGTACGTATTGACGTGAAATTTTCACATGTTTTAATCATAAAAACTTGTGGAAGAAATGAAGATACGAGTTGTCATATGATGTACTCACGTGAACGTGCCCACGTGAAGCATTAATCATATGAACATAATCCATTATACGGAAAAAATTGGAATACACGTTATTGTACGTGATTGCATAAGTAATAAGTATAAACTGATTAAAATATTACTAAAATTTAAAATTAACAGCATTTGATGGCTTCATTTCTTCCAATTCTGAAATGCTACTCACTGAATATTCCGGCAAATATTAAATTTATAAAATTTGATTTTTGAAAAAAGTTTTTTTTTTTTTTTAAATATTAAAATTTTTGTCTTATGCTATCAAATATATCTTTAAATGTAAATTTTTTAAAACTTTTTATTTAAATAAATTAATGAATTCATCATTTGATTAAATTTTACTCTCTGAAAAAGAATTGATTTTAACTATAAAATTTTTCATCATTTAAATTTTAAAAATATTGTGCTTTTTTACTTCTATTAATCGTCAAAAGAAAAAAAAAACACTAATTTTGCTAATCTTAAATTCACATTACAATTAACAAGCAAATCTTTCAATCCTAATATCAAATTAAATTATAATTAATATCAAATCTTTCAATCCTAATATCAAATTAAATTATAATTAATATCAAATCTTTCAATCCTAATATCAAATTAAATTATAATTAATATCAAATCTTTCAATCCTAATATCAAATTAAATTATAATTAATATCAAATCTTTCAATCCCAATATCAAATTAAATTATAATTAATATCAAATCTTTCAATCCTAATATCAAATTAAATTATAATTAATATCAAATCTTTCAATCCTAATATCAAATTAAATTATAATTAATATCAAATCTTTCAATCCCAATATCAAATTAAATTATAATTAATATCAAATCTTCATTTTTGCTAATATTAAGTGAAATTCTATTATTGCAATATTAAATATGGAATAAATGAAATTAATTATTGAAATATTTTTTCAAAAAGTTTTTTTTTCTTTTGAAATGGACAATATTAGAGGAAAGGAAAAGGATTTACTTCGGTTGTGTTATCATTTAACAACAGCTGCGTTATCATATCTCATTCAGTTTGTTTTCTTTCCCACTCCCAACTTTCTCAATCATTAGTTAATTCTCAATTTTGATCTCAAATTTTAATCCCAACCTCAATTCTGAATTTCTTTTCATTCTCTTTCATTGATTAGCTGTTGCTAATAATATTTTCTTCGTTATCATTTAATTATTTATAAATACAATAACGAATGCTATTATTGTGATTTAAGATAATAATATGATTTAATTAAAATTTTTTTTTTTGAAGGTTTTTTTCATTTTCTTCTTTCCTAATTTTGCCATTTTATTTATCATTCATAGTTTATGTCAAATAGTTTTTTGCTGTATCATTTAGTAATTATTGAAATTTCATTAAAATAAGCTTTCTAATATTTATTGAAACTTTTTCCCTTTTTTTTTTTATTTTTCAATATATTTATTATCAATTTATTTTTGATTTATAAGAGAATAAAGCTGCAATTATGAATCAAATCTTTTTGCTTACGTCAAATAAATTAAACGTAACTGAAACTTTTACAGTAGCGCTTAAATATTAGCGCCACGTCACGTTTGTGGCAAAAAACAAAGGACAATTTTTAGTTCATAATTGAAAAATGTTTACATGGTGTTTATCATTAATCTTATCACTTGCACTGATAATCAATGTTAGCGCAATAAGAAGGCAAGGTGTTGCGGTACGTGGGCAATTATTGTGCGGTTCAGCACCGGCTAATCAAACTAAAGTTCGTATTGTCGATATTGACACAGGTTTGTAGCCCGGAAAACTTACCCGAGATTAATTGAAAAGAATGTAAACATTTAAAAATCTTTCAAATAATAGTACAAATTTTTTTTGTCGCCCTGTAAATTTCAGCTGACCATTTATGAATTTAACGTAGAATTCAGAAAATTAGGTTGTTATAGTTATAAATTAATTATAAATAATTATGAATAAAAATAACTGTAATTGGAAAAATATTTTAATATTACGTAAAATTATTTTCAAAAGAAAAAAAAAAAAAAAAAACATCCAATAAATTATTTCTATTCATTTTTCATTAAAAATTTAGGTCCTGATCCTGATGATACGCTTGATGAGAAAATTGTTGATGCGAATGGAAAATTTGAATTAAACGGAAGTACACGTGAACTAACAGACATTGACCCAGTGTTATACGTATGGACCGATTGTCAGGATGGATTAATAGTTTTGTTTATTTATTTTTGAAAAGAAATATTTTTATTAGAAATAAGAAATAATAAAAAAAAAATTTTTTTCTCAAATGAAATATTAAAAATTATCATTGTTTTGTGATATATTTCATACATTCATCAATAATTATTCTTTATAAAACAACAAAATTGTTTATTTTAGCCGTGTCAACGTAAAATAACATTTAAAATACCAAAAAAATTTATTCATAATGGCGAACCAAAATCTGAGCAATGGATTGATATTGGTGTGTTAAATTTGCAAGGACATTTTGAGGACGAAGGACGAGAATGCTTACATTAATTTTAATATCTTTGTTACTTTTCAATTTTATAACTATAAAATTTCATCCCAATCATTTCAAATTGTTCCTTCTTTTGCTTGAAAAAAAAAAAACAAAAACAAAGCTATGAATTGTTTTGGAATAATTAATTGATCAAAATATATTATCATAATCAATGATATATAATAATGATCATCAATAATAAATGTATAATGTGCTTAAATATACGAACAACACACATACACACACACACACACACATACACACAGACATAGTTGTAGGCTTATCAATGATAAAATTAGATAATTATTATTTTATCATCATTATCATAATATGCAAATAGTTCGCCTTTTGTAGTGCTTTTTTTTCTTTTGAATATTTTATAATTCACAAATTAGAACTTAAATATGCATTTTAAATTGTTATAATCGTATTGTAATTAATGCTAGTTTTAAATAATAAAATTCTTTTATTTGCAAACAGATTCGAGTAAAAAATAAGTATTAATCAAATACAATTTACATACGAATTATGATCAGTTTGAAATTAATCGACAAATTTCATATCACGATTCTCTCTCGGATATATTATCTGCAAAAAAACATTTTAGCAAAATTATTAATTATAGCGTTGAAAAGTCGCAAATTTATTCGTAGTTATATAAAGTAAGTTTTGGAAAAAAAGGAGAAAAAATTAATTGAAAAAATTTTTTAGTTTAAAAAACAATTAGGAAATGAAACATTCATCTTTGTAAAATAAACAAAAAAGAAAACAAAGATTTTTAGATTTGCTAACTTAAACAAACAAACAAACAAACAAAACAAATTTATCCTTAATTTTATGAAAAAAATAGTAATGGAATATTCAGGTATGAATTTTGCTATACATTCAAACATTCTTCACTTCTACATTCTATTTTACAGTGCCCAGTAATTGATGAGAAATAACCAAAATTTATTTTAAAATTAAAGGTTAAAGGTCAGAAATTATTAAACGGAAATAATGAAAGGAAGTATTAGAGTTATTTTAGACGTAAACAAAAAATAAAACACAGCTATATACTAGAAATTTTTCTAAATAAATTCAGATGTCATTTCATTATAAATATTTCATCGTTTTTATCAGTTAATTAACATTTATGTAATTTATAAATTTCTGTTAACAATTTGCAAATGTTTTTTAGGATAAGTCAGAAAAATTTGCATAATTTTATGGTTTATTTAGTGATACTAAATGAATAATTAAGTGATAATGACGAATAATCAGTCGATCAAATACCACAATCACTGTGATATTATCACTATTAGATCAAATTTTACAAATTATGTTAAAAAAAAAAAGTAAATTTAACTATTTACACACGTAAGTACCAGAGATAAATTTTGATAAATAAACAAACCTGCAAATTTAATTTACCAATATCGAATGGTTTCCTCGGTACTCTGCCGATTGTTACGTATTCTTTAGGGTAACTTATGGCAAATGTTCGGTAACCAATCTATTTTGATCCAATCTTTTAAATTTTAACTTAATTTATGTTTGCTATTTTATTTTAAATTAATATTTTCTAGTTTTAGCTAAGAAGCTAGTAATCATTCTAAGTAATTATCGAAAAAAACGCATAGCTGTATTAGATAATTGTATTTCAAGTAAATAAGTTTTGAAATATGAAGTTTAGTGATTTTTTGAAATATTTTACTGTTTGAAAAAGACAGAGAAGTTTTAAAATCTAAGGTATTTGTCACCGTTAATTTCCTAGTTTATTCAAATTGAATCAAAAAAATTAATTTGAGTTAGTGCTAATTAAAATTTGATACTATTTAATATTTCTTAATTCCATTTCAAAATAATTATTAAAAGTGACCTTCTTAAGATCTTTTTTTAGATCATCATCACATCGATGATAAAATCTAATCACTGGATCAATATCTTGCTCCGTTCGTCCAACTGTGTCGCCTTCAATTTGAAAATGTCCATTTAATGTTGTTTGATTGGTTGACAGAACTTCGCCAATATCTAAAAGCTACTTTTTTTTTTTAAATAAAATTTCATAGTTTTGAAATTTTTTTTAAAACGAACTTTTCAACGACGAATAATTGTAATTATCGAAAAGTTAATGTATATCAAATACAAGACATTATCATAAAAATGATCAAATAATAATTGTTTAAAAATTGAGAAACACAATTTAGTTTAAAATATTTTAATTAGTCATTTAAATAATGAAATACTTGTTTGAATAATTAATTTAAGCATTTTTAAGTCATTATTTTAATTAAATTTCTATTATCAGATTTTTTCTCAATTTTTTTTTTAATTTTTCCTTTAGGCTTACTATTCAATTTTTCTCCACATAATTATTTGCAATTAATTTTCTTATTTGAGCTAAAAATTTAAAAAAATTAAATATATTTTTGTTTAAATAATTTTTAATTACTTCATAATTTGACTAAAAAAAGAAAATAACAGTTATTAATAGCAATTTTAAAATGTTTTATAATTTTTAGTTGCTGCGATACAATCTTTCCATGTTTACCCGTTTGACCTTTCTATACACTTGACCTTTGCTAATCTTATGCTATCCATTTCCATAATTAATAATATCAAACTTTTAAAGGTTAATAAGAAATAACTGATATACATTTTGCATACCATCGCTTGCTTTCCGGAATAATCTCACTTTGACATCATTAGCTGATGTATTCCCGCAGAGTAAAATACCTTTTGCAGCTGTTGAACGAGTTGAAATTTTTTCAGCAAATTTTATCTGATCACCAATGACTAAATGAAGAAATAAGCATAAAATATGCACCAATATCATTACCTAAAAGAAATATTTTTATTTTATCAAATGTTTTTAATAGAAACATTTCATTTGATAAAATTTAAAATTAGTAAAATGATCAATAAAAAAGTGTTAGGTGGAATAATACAATTCAAAATTCGAAATAACTAACTGTTTGATGTAAAGAAAAATAAAAATGAAAAATTGGAAATGATAAGTGCTAGCAGCTGGTTGTAATTTATATAACATTAGAGAGTGCCAGGATAGTCTAATCATTTATCATAAGCATTTGTTAACAATGTATTTAATCATTTGGCGAAACATCCTGAACTTAATGCTTTTATCTCTAATGTTTTATCACTTATGTGCTTATCATTTGATTCGTTACTTTTTATGTTTTCTTCATTTTTACTGAAAGTTTATAACATTTATCAATTCTTTATGAAACTATCTGATTCTTAATTCACAATAGCAAATAATTTACTGATAAAGATATTCAGAAGGCTGAAGTGATGTAAAATTTCAAGCGATTTAATTTTTTTTTTTCAGAAATTTTCAAAAAGATTATTTGATCATCGATTGAAAAGTTACAAATAAAGCGATATGAATATATTTAATAATGTTTTGATCATTTAATTAATATTTTATCAAATAAAATTGAAGTAAAGAAATCAGTTACAATTACTGAAGAGAATGAATAGTTATCTTCTGAAAATTGAAATTCGTTTGCAGCTTACAATAGTTAGTCTGTAATTAATTTGAAATTAAAAAATCAATTTGAAATTTTGATCAAGTAAAATTCATTTATTCAGTTCTATGTTCTTTGAAAATATTATATCCAAAGGATCTTTATAAATTATACATTTCATTTTCTTTCTTAGCTCTTTTTTTTCCAACAATTTAACAGCATCCTAAAATTAAATTTTGCTAACTTATATTGTAGAAATAAATGTAAAATCATAATCTTAAAATTTAGATGAAAAATCCAGCAGCTCAACAATTTTTAAGTTTCAGAAAATCTTTATTAAAATATAAATCGATCACATTAACATTTAGAAATTTGGGCAAAAAATAATATCTGACTGATAGTTGTAAGCAGAATTTAGTAACATCCATTTTGATGTTCAAATTTTGATCACAATATTTCGAATATTTCAAACGATAGAAAAATGTGCGAATTGAAGAGAAAAATATTGGTAGGATAGTTCAATTATTTACATTGAAATAAATCATTTAGCCTATTTAAATTACCAAAATTTAAATTCTCATTCAAAATGTCAATCTGATAATGACATAATCTTTCCCATTTATTAATTCACATCTCTGAGCAAATCAATAATCAAATGATACGCTTAAACTTTATTTATCATATCATTTCTTTCATCGATAGAATTTACTACAGATTTTAATGATTATTTCCCACTTTACAAAATACCTATCATACCGCCTTTCTCATTAATCAATCATTAATTAATTAATTACTGGTGAGTAGCAATCATTGCAATCATTTTGAGACAAATTCTTGCATTCCATCAATGTTAAAACCTCTCGCTCTAATGACATATCCAACTCTTCATTATCACAATCATTATCATTATCATATCATATCACATCATATCATACAAACCTACCAAATCATCCTCATAACTTACCTTCCTCACATTTTTATATTTGCTCTATTCTTTTACTACTACATAAAACATTTCTCATTGCTATGTTAGCATTTAACTGATAAACAACATTCCTTTATCAGTAAGTATAGCAACAATTATCTGCATATCGTATAGACTGTTTCATTTAACAGACTTACTGCTAGAACAGTAATAATTAATAATGTCTAATTAATGGTTGTAAAAGAATTAAAAAAACAAACTATAATTAATTATAATAAACTTTATGCATAAACGAAGTTAAAACCTTTTTTGATATTTAAAAAAAAGTTCATATTATAATATAAATGATATGTCACTTATACATATTATAATTTTTCAAAAGCTGTTTTAAATCATACTATTTTGTAAATTTTTATGATTTCTAAACTTTATATTTTTTAATTAATTTGCAAAAATTCTAAAACATGCAAAACTTACAAAAAGATAAATCTTTTGGGTATAAACTTTTGATTAAATTTTACTAATTAAAACAAGATTATCACTGTATTAAATTACTATTACTGTGCTTGTTACCATAAATAAATAATATTTAGAATTGAAGAGTTGAATAATATTTTTATGCTGTAACAATGGATCGATCTCTTACACCCGGAATTCGTTTACGGTAACGATGTCAAATATTCGTTCTCGAGCTGACCGGTATTCTGCCGGATATTCCCACCTTTGCTAGTCGTTCCCGTTTTTTCGGGCGATTCTGCTTTACTGGAATTACTTTATTACGAAGTGAGATTTGGTTCTATTCCTGAATTGCTATACTTCATCTGAAAAATTTTGACTCATCTCAATTTTGTTTTTTGAAAATTTTCATTGAATTTTATTTAACAATAGAAGTTTTCGAATAAATTTAATTAAATGAGTGACAAATCATGAATAATGGTAGTGCATTGCAGTAGTTTTACTTTAAAAAAGCTTTTTACTTGAATTGCATTTCAAAATAAGCGTTTATTTATTGTCTGATATGTTTGAAAACTGTTGTGTATTATACATCGAATTTTATTTTTTGATTTATAGATTAAACGCGAATTTTTATTCTTTTAAGCTCGATCTTTTAACTTTCTCTTTTATCTTTTAAATCTTTCAAATGCAATCTTTCAATGTTTTAAACTCAATCTTTTTAAGCTCAATCTCCTTTACTTTCTGTGGACGTTTTCATTATTTGATATTCATTCTTTCTTAAGGAAATGAAGTAATCATGTTGTCTGCGACAGAATTTTTAGCTTAACACATGGTATGGCAAAATTCATAGTTTAACATTATTATAGGTGAATGGCAGGAGCAAACGATTCAGATGATCCATGGGCGATTCCAGAAGGTCATCTGAAAAGCCGTCGAAATATTGTTGACAGGGTTTGAATTTTGGCTTTTTTCAATTTTGATTGATCTTCGAAGAAAATAATTCATAATATCTTGCACCAATATATTAGGGAATTCTGTGTTTAAAAAGAATATGGAGGAATAGGATTAGAGAATACTTGTTAAAAGAACTCTGATTTTTTCAGGTTTTATAATTCGGTAATTCGATAACACTAAAAATATGGTAAAATATATAGGAATGTTTGAGATATGCATCTGATATATTCAGTATGTTAGTACATTTGGCATACTAATATATTCACTCTGTTTGAGAATCATTTCTAATACCAACTTTTTAGTAAAGATACTGACTTTAATTTCTGTCGGAAAAGAACTTATGTAAGTAGCTAAAATGTTAAATATTAAATAACCAGTGCATATTATACTAAATATAAGGTCTAAGTATTAAATATAACAAAGCATTAAGTTCCAGTCCAGGTCATACATAAATAAGCATACTGAGTTGGGTATGATTATACAAATGCATTGGTATTTTGAGTAGATACTTTAAGGTATGAAGTACCAATACAGACCCTGTTATATGAATGACTGCATTAATATAACATACGTATGTGAACAAAATTATTTTAGACAAAAGCCTTATCATTGAATGATAAATCCAAGGTAAGCTGTGGTGACATTAATAATGAGCGGCAGTTGTTCGGAGGTTTTTCAGGTATTGTTTGAGAAAATTTTCTTATCGTATGCTTGTAGAGAGATTTTTTTTTTTTTTTGCAAAATGAGCCTTTGTTTGTTATTTTGAAAAAGAAAGCACAAAATTATTTATAATACTGTGAAATCTTCAGATAGTTGGAAGGTGTTCTAGAAATGGAATAACTGATAGGGAATTATTAGGAAAAAAAAATATTTGTAAAATCACGGCAATTTTGAAGAAATAAAGTGAATTGCTAATATATATGGGTAATTAATAGTTGTTACTGCAATGTACTATTAATTGTCTTTTTTTTTTTTTTTTGAATTTTCCACCAGTTTTCTTATAGAGGATTTTTAAAGTAATTTAAGTATTAAGAATAGCGCGACCGAATAAGATACTGCATAAGATACTGCACGTTCAAAGGCAGCTGTAATTGTTTTGCAGTGCCGAAAGTTTGTGGTGAAAACGTATTTGGTGGTAATTTAAATTTACGAAGTGACTCGCAAGACGGAAGAAACAATCATGAAAGAGTGGTTGATGGCAGTTATAGCAGCAATAGTCGAGGAATGCCATTTAATTCTTTCCAGACAAAGAATTCATTTGGAAGTAGGTGTATTTCTTCCATTACACGATATGAGGTTAATCATTTGAATCAATAAGCCTTTTTGTGAATAGCTGACATATAGTTTGGAGCTACTAAACGATCTTTTGACGTTTTTTTTTTTTTTTTTAAATAATTTTTTTTTTAAATTTTTTTTTAAATCAATCTTTTTTCATCATATTAAGTTGGATCCAAATCCACTGTTTCCAGCTTACATTTACCTGAGGATATAATTTTCTCCAAAATTATATTCTTGATTTTCTTGCAGTTGCTCATCACTTCAGGTCTACTTGATTTCCAATTCCTTTACCTTCCTTTACCAATTCAAATTGTATTCGGTGATTTATACTCAGTACTTACGACGATGCTAAATTTTTCTTGTTTAAGGTTCATTGCAGCGTGGATTTGGAAGTACATTTGGTGGTGGACTTCGCTCAACAAAACCGACTGATCCATCTAGTGGCGACAGAACTTTTACATTCCGAGCAACTACTCCGGGATTTGATACAGGCAGCAGTTTTTCTAAACGTAATCTGCTTGTAATAAATTCGAATCAGGCAAGCAGTATGGGTCAATTTACTGCACCAGCTAGCACTATTAATTTATCGAATTCCTCTGTCTCATCGCAATTCAACAGTAGTAATGAACGATGGGCAAACAGACGGAATAGACCGGAAGGTGAAGGAGATTCAGAGTTAGAACGAAAAAATTTGGATGCAGAAAATAGCTATTTCTCATCGGCACCGCCATTTGCAAAGAGCCAGAGCTTCAATAATAATGTCGCGAATGTTCGAATGCAGCAGCCCTTCAAGACGGAAAACTCACCAAGTTAATAACGTTTTTAGTGCTTACATACTTCCTTATGAGATGTTATTCATATATAAAATGAATTACTAACATTGGTAGATATGAGTATCATTTGTTTCTCAATATGAACAAACTAACCTTGTCATCTTTGTTCATATCAGATTAATTGTTTGGAATTTTCATGCCAATTTAACTCATATATCAGAACTTTGATTAGTTTTTGGTGAAAAACGGTGTAGTTTCAAATACAAAGTTTAATTCTACATTTTGAAACATCAGTATTTATTTTCAAAGATTTAAAAGCTTATGTACATAGTAGTCAATAGGCATCAAATGAATAAGAAAGTAGTGTAAAGATAAATCAGAAACGTGTTGATAGTGTATTTGCCTGCTTTATATTGCAGAATGAATGCTGGCTATCGGTTTCAGTTAATTAGAGTTCAGTGAAATAATTCATTATTTTCAGCGACACATACATTATCTCTTGAAGAACGTGAAAAAAAATTTTGGGAACAAGCTGCTTGTCGTTCATCTCCATTCGTTCCTAGTCAGATGGCAACAGGTACGTTTTATTATTATAATTACATAGAACATTGCATATAATTTTGGTATTTTTCTAAAGGTAAACATTGTCCTCAATCTTGTAGTTTCCTAAGAACATAGGGAACGAATTTAGGAAAAAATTGTAGGACCTGTACCATTGAATGATACTTGGTTTCACTATCTAATGTTTTAGTTTTTCTTCAATGTTAAAAATTTATTTATTAACGTCTTCAGATACACTTAACAACACAACTCCTAAATTTGGCGGTTTCACTTCTCCATCCAGTGGTCGGCCGCTATATGGACGAAGTCTTTGCGCCGATAAACAAAGTGAGAAAAGTTAGGATAATTCTGCATCAACTTTTTCTTCTTTTTTTGGGGTATCATTTTACTAACTGGTAAATGATGCCGATAAAATCTCTCATGCTTTCATAATTTTATTTTTTTATGATTATTCATAATTTATTTTTACTCTATGGTTTTGAAATTTTCAGGCCGTGATACTGCACCATCTTTTTCTGCTTCACATCAGGTACTGTTTTTACTACGATTCGGTAAATGTTGTTTTAGTGGTTAGGGAAAGTGTTATGTTAACAGCACTGATTAAATGATTTTGATTGGTTATCATTATCATTTGTAAAATTATAAAAAAGCTTTAAAGTATCGAAATATTTAGCGGAAAGCGGTGATGAATGTTGGTCAGGAATCTTCCCAGCACGCTGATGATGGACTTTTCCCCAAAGATGAGTATGAAAAGCGTAAGTTTGCAAGTACTCATTAAAGAGAATAATTGCGATCTCTTGATACGCAATAGAATGAAACACAAGAAGTTCAGGATTTACTCTTTCAACTTAACGGATAGATTGAATTGAAAAAGAAAGTTATTTCGGAAACATTTGTAAAGTCACTTCATTATCAAAAAATGAGCTACTTTGGTTGTTCTGTCGAGTGGCATCAATATACACAATTATGAAGACTAACAGTTTCACTAGCAGTTGCTGAATTCACTTTGACTAAAACTTAAATACCACTGAAGTTGAACATACTTTTTATGATATTGCCTCTGATTTGGTAAGAAATGTCAGTTACTGCGATGAAATGTATTGATTTGTGGTCACTGTAATTAAGAGTCATGTTTATTGATTATTTTTTTAGCGATGCCAAACGACGAAATATCGTTGCTAAACAAAATATTACATAAAAAACTAGAAAATCTTCAAAATGGTAGTTTAGAAATTTCACAGGCTCGAAGTGATCCGAATTCACCGCTCTACTCTGTTACTTCATTTCAGAATTTACGCCTGTTAGTTTCTATTTAAAATTGTTAGCTGTTTAAGATTTATATGTGTCAGTCTTAGAAACTATCTGTATTAACGTAACTATGAGAATGATAAAAGCGTATTGCGGATTTCATCTAAAAATTGGTCGGTACGATGTTTTAGTTTTAATCAAATTTCATTTATCATGCTAAAATTTTTTGTATTTGCAGAAAGGATGAACTTCTGAAGGCTTTAGATAAAATGAGCTTTTATATGCCATCAAAAATTCAAGAAGCGGCACTACCTTTACTTCTGGTTGAACCGTATGTGCTCACTTTTTTTCTGCTTATTTTAAATTTAGCGAGTAGCAAGGGATGACATGACGATCTGTCATATTTATCATTGAATACTACATTTAATAGTGTTTATGAATGCTTTTCTTATTGAGCTGACTTCAATTATATTCATCTGACTGAATGTAATATTTTAAATAACTGTGGTATTTGTAAAAATTAATGTATCTTCTTGTAAGATATCACAACCTGAATACTTCCTCTTTTTGGGTTGCATTAGTGAATGTAATTGTTTCGCCATAAGGTAGAATAATTTGCTTATCCTAAAGTATTTAATTTTCAATAATTGTTCAAGACCGATGAATTTAATTGCACAAGCACAAAGTGGTACGGGCAAAACAGCAACATTCGTGCTTACAATGCTTTCACGCGTTGTTCCATCAAATAAATGGCCGCAATGCTTATGTCTTGCACCTACTTATGAATTAGCTATGCAAATCGGTCAAGTAGTCAAGAAAATGAGCGAATTTTTGCCAGAAATCGAAATTCGCTATGCAGTTAAGGGTGAACAAAGTGAGTTCGTATTGTAAATACTTTTCTTAACATTTGATACCAATGTTATTTCAAAATTATAGCATGATAATCTGATACTTTAGTGCATAAGAGATTCATTTTGTTTTCTTTTTCTCGTTTTTGTTTTTTCGTTTTCGTTTTTTGAAATGAAAAAATAATAGCTGTTTCAATTCATAAAAAAATGTTATCTTGTTTCAAAACATTTTTATTCTATCATTTATTCCTGATTTTTTTTTTCCTTTTTTTTTTGCACACTTTTTAATAACAAAAAGGAGTTGAAAGTATAGTGGTAAAAATAACAGCAGACAAAATATCGTAATGCAATTCATAAGTTTAGCATTCTTTTGAAAATGTGTCATTTGATTGGTACTGAATTTTTAAATAATAATTTCTGCATTATTATTATTTTTTTCTTTAATGTTTAAAATATCGGTAAAGTTTCTTTTAGAAACTTTGTTATCTTTCCAGTGTCACGTGGTGAAAAAATCGAAGAACAGATAATAATTGGCACACCAGGTAAAATGCTAGATTGGGTGACAAAACTCAAGGTGATCGATCCATCGAAGATAATTTGCTTGGTGTTAGATGAGGCGGACGTTATGATCTCACAGCAAGGGCATCAGGATCAAAGCATTCGATTGCATAAGTTTGTTTGTTCGTTTGTTTTTACTTTAAATCGAATTTGTTTTGTAGACGATCCAGATAGGCATATAATCAAGATGGGAAAAGATTTCTGCTTAAATGAAAGACGACTTGATGATTGATATGTTTTTTATATATTTATGGGCGGCTTAGGTTTAAAGTGGTAAATTTATGACAGCTGTGTTAGACGACGCGATAGAATCATGATAATATCTTGATTAGTTTTTAAATTTTATTTTAAATTTTAAGAATTAAAAAAAATTTTTTGTTTAAATTTTTAGTGAATTAGAGCGATCAGGAGCGAAATATCAAAGTTTGCTGTTCAGTGCTACATATGATGAAAGTGTTCGATCATTTGCAGATTACATTATCAAAGATGCTGTCAACATCACGTAATTTTTCATTGTTAAAACTTTCTTGTTACGGTATGAGAATTCTGAGGGAGTGGATGAATGAAGACAACAAGAAAAACTTGTAGATCAAACAAAGAGTGCCTTTTCATTTGAAAGATATGGGTCGTTCCTACTTTTAAGAATGCATGCATGTGTTCGATATGAACTTATCACAATTGGATAATTATTTTCGATTTTTTTGTACACTTCAACTTTATTTTTACCAGATTTTCATGTTCCAGAATAGTGATTATTTAATGTTTTCTACTCATTATTTCTTTTTTCCCCAGAAGCCACATTTGGGGTATTAAGTATTGTAACAGTAAAATAGGTCAGACGCTTAATTTCACTGAAAGAGGATAAAAAGAAGATAGGATAATCACCTTTGATTGTTAATGATGGTGAGCAAATTCACTGCAGATTGCGCAATAGTTTGTCTGGCTTTGTCGTTGTGCAAATTATAGTGTTTGTTGAAAGGTCATATTTCTGTGAAAGATGATGATAGAATGAGGTAAACGGAAAGAGCTAAGTGTAAAAGCAAATAAGAGGTATTAAATTTCGATTTCTTCATCATGAGGGCAAGGAGGATAATTTTTGAAGCAGGATTTTAAAGAATGTTATCTGGAGGAATATTTTGAAGTTTCTTTTGTGGGATGCAAGGTATTAAAAATTTGTGATCTTTTGTATGAGTAAGCTTGAATTTGATTCTTTTTTTTTTTTTTTTCGAGATGATGAGCATTTTCCAGAGCTTATATAGCCAGAAAATTTACTTATAAAGTCAGAAAATTGCAAAAAAATACTGTCCTGGCTAATATTATATAGAAAGGACTGAGTTAATGTTGAGTATTCAATTAATTTGCAAATTTAAATGAAGAATGCGGCTTTAATTTCAGCATTAGATAACTTAATTTTAAGATTTAATTTTAAGAGCAGGTTGGTTTATCGTCTTAGAATAAATCGTGATTTAGCTTAAAACTGTTGATTGCTAGAAGTTGACTTGATTAGTCTAACTATTTAATGAATTTCATGTTTAAAATTTTAACTGACTTTTTGGTGTTTTCCATGTTAAAAAATTAAGATTGGAACTTTTGTTGATTGAAACTATCTAATGTTGAAATTGAAGCCACATTCTGAATTTAAATTTGCAAATTAACTGATCACTCAATATTTATCTCAATCCCTTCTATACAAAAACTTTTTCAATGAATAACAAATCAAAAGTTCAGATCACAGTAGGTGGTTGCAATGAAAATACTATTCATTTGGTCGTTGACCGCTCACAATGTTTATTTTGGAGGGTAGGAGAGCTCCGGTGTTATTGGCGACATCTGTGCACAAAAGTATGAAGGCTCTTGGGTTTATTTGGTAGTGTCAAATTTCTCGCAGTTCATAACATTAATAAAAATTAAGTGCAATATAAGAGTATTTCTTAGATATTTTTGGTTAATGAAGAAGAATTTCAATAAAATATTGTGGAATTAATTGAAAGGAAATGTTTTTTATGCATGGTTATTTTGTCAGCAATAATTTTCAATTATTTTATGTAATACGCAAGATAAATTAAGGTAATTTAGTGATTTCACTTACTTTGTGACCTATTTTATGTCAGCTTAATTTGGTAGCGTGAAACTCTTCCTGGCTGTAGGTTAACAAAAGTTAACGACATGAAAAACTGACATTTTGAAATGGAGAAACTTTATATGTTTACACTTCTTAGCTCTATAGTAATATTTCTGCATATTCTTTATGGAAAATAGTTTTTAAAAAATATGGAAATTACATTAAAAGAGAAAAATGACAGATGGACGCATTTCATTGCATCTTTAGTGATTCCACTCGTACATAATCTTCCATTCCTTCAAGTATGTCATATTCTCATAGGGCCTTCTATGCAGCCATCTTTACTTATGCATATATCAACAATATCCTCTTTACACTTAAGAGAAAAAAAAAATGATTAGTGCACTGGAACTGTAATTCGTTAAAAATATGGACAATAAAATGATTCGTAAAATTCAAAGGAACTAATTTTTATTTACATGACTCAGTAAATTAGTTTTTTTTGTGTTTGTACTGATTTTGAAAGCTCAAAGACAAGGACGTATGTTTCTCTTTAGCAGGTTTTTATGATTATTTTCTCTTTTTTGTTGATTAATGTGAATAAGAATTACTTTGAATTTCTTTTAGTTTACGAAGAGATGAGCAAACGTTGAAAAACATCAAACAGTATTATGTAAAATGTGCTAATAGAGAGGAGAAGTATGAAGCTGTGATGAATTTATATGGAGGTTTAACGATTGCTTCAGCTATAATTTTTTGTTACGTGAGTTATTTAAAGCTACTCATCGTTTTAAATTTATTAACTTTGTATTTTCTCTCAAGAAAAATTGTGTCGTTAAATTTTCGAAAGCTTCGATGGATTACAAAGAAGTATCGGGAATATATATCGCTAAAATTAAAGGATGCATATTGAAGAGTGGAATGGAAGTGAAAAATATTGTCATAAATTCGATAACTGTTCTATTTGTCATGCTGGGAAGGGCACTCTTTGAAATAAATTGGAGTATATTATCCACAATGATCTGTGCTCACTGAATTTGAAAATTTCTAATTTTCTAGACGCGTAAATCTGCTGAATGGTTAGCTGCTCGGATGAGTCAACGAGGTCATGATGTAACGGTACTGCACGGTGAGATGACAATCGAGGATCGAGCTCGAACTATTCAGCAGTTCAAAGACAGCATTTACAAAGTGCTTATCACAACGAATGTTTGTGCACGAGGTATTCATTTCACAGATTGAAGAAAGAGATTTAACTTGTGTTTTCAACTATGGGAGATACCTCGATCTTAAGCGGAAACAAGAAAGTCTTTAACTATAGGAAAATAAAATAGAAACACCCAACTATTCTGTCTTTTAACAACTCTTATCAAATATCAGCGTGAAAAAATGACAGATTTGCCGGGATATTCTTATTACATTTTTCTCTTTGCATTGATTGCTTTGCAATGGGATGCAAGAATTTTGGAAACTTTGTAAATTTTTGAAATGTCGGAATTTTGGAAATTCAAAAGAAATCACCAAGCTACTTTTAATTGTTATCTCAATGCTCTGAATGTGATTTATCCATTACGGAAATTCTAATATTAACTCATCGCAATACAAAAAGATTTTTTTAAATAAAATTTTGTTGAAGTAGTCGCTTACTTTACTAAGTTTCAGGTATTGATGTTTCTCAGGTATCAGTAGTTATAAATTACGATCCACCAGTGACTTTTGCCGATAATCCACAGCCGGATTACGAGACCTATATCCATCGAATTGGCAGGACAGGAAGATTCGGGAAAGCAGGAATCGCGATCAATTTGGTTTCTGATGATTTCTCACTAAGTGTTATTCAACGAATTGGCGACTATTTTGGTAACTTATTTCCAAATCTTTATTTTTCTGCATCCATCATAGTTTGCTGCTGTTTTTACTTTTTTTTTTATTTATTAAGGATTTCATTTTGTTGGCATAAATGTTCAGATTGTTATATAAGTGATTGTTTTGTGGTTACTTCAAAAGTTTGAATTCGTAAATCATGCAAGAAGTGTACGCATACTTTGATAAATAAGCATTTGAAATTAAAGAACTGATAACAACCCTATTAAATCTATGATTTATTAGTGTAATACCAATCAGTTTTAATGATCGGTTTGTGAGACCAATGAGTTGTTTATTTCCATGCCATCATGTTGTGTATGCTCTCAATTAGAGCCTTTTTTATCAATAATATGTAATTGAAATGTTTATTTTGTAGTAAATTCATTACAGGTGTGGCAATTGAATCCTTAGATGCGAGCGATATGGATCAGTTGGAGGCAATCGATAAGGATAAATTTTGAATATTTGCGTTTTTGGATTAAAGCCACTGAAGTGCAGTTTTAGACTCTGTATTGTCATGCATAGTTAGCTGCCTTATCGTTTCTATAGGTCATATTCTGTAATTATTTTTATGATTGGTCTTTGTTTGCAAGCTAATTTCATTATTGTTTTTGTGAGAAGATAGAGAGAGGGAATTTTAATTTCATGGAAACATCATGTGAAATGTTTTGTCGTTTTTTATTCATAAAAGAAAAAAAGTTATGTATTAAACTGTCCTCATTTTTCGAACAAAATTTCAACAGTTTTAGGTGAAATTTATTGTTTTAAGAAATTTTTTTTTTTAAAAAAAATTCTAGATTTCAAGTTGTGGATCTTCTATAGCATAGAAGAGAAAGCCTTTTGTATGGATTTGATGGTGTTAATATGAGGATTCAAATTTCAACTTACGAAATCTGTCAGTTTCCAGCATATTCCATCTAATAATGAAACAACATTCCTTATGTGTCGCCTGCGGAATTCATAAGTTTTTCTTTGTATTTCATATTAGCTTTTGTTCTTCATTGATTGTAAATGTTTTCCCTTCTTCGTGCCTGTTTTCCAGATTTAATTTTAATTTCATGTTCATGTCATGGAGTATACAAAGGTGTGTTGTGTATGCATCAGCTAATATTGCTGGTCTAAGGAATCTAAGAGTGGAATTATTCAGTTATGAAGATTGTGAAAAAAAAAAAAAAAAAGTATATGTTCTTGTTATAATAGTTCATTGTACTATTAGCCATAGTACTCATAGTACTATTATTCATTGCACTACAATCATTGGGTTTAATTTCTTTGTTATGATTTCGCTTACTTTTTTTTTTAAAAAAAAAGTATCAAATTACAATGCTTACTTGCTTGCATAGATACTCTCTGTGAACATTTCCTAAACTTGTCCAATTGTTCACAGTTCTTTCTTTTGATAAAAGTGGCAATTATTGAGAAAAAAAAAAAAAAAATGCCAAATCAGGTTATCGCGAAATTCCCATGAAGAATTTTTAGGAATTTTTTTAAAAACTTTGTAGCCATGCAACAGCTTTCATCCTTACTGGATGAGCTAATAAAAAATTTCAAACTGATGACAATTAGAGCAGTTGGACAGACTTATGACAGGTTGTTGAACTTTTTTTTTCAAAAAACAAATGCCTCCAAAATTTTTTATCTTTACCATCAAATTCTTGACCATTTCTTTGTTGTGTTAATAAAATGCTTTTGTATTTACATTTAGTTTCATTCGGTTTTTGTCCCATTTACATGAATCAGTTATTGTATGACTGTTGTTTTTAGGCTTTATCGCATCACAGTGTTTTCGATAAAAGTAAGTCTATTTTTTACTGATTAAAAATTTGCAGAAAAAAAGCAGAATGTATAATTCTTTTATTTTAATATGGAAGAAATTTGAACAAATATTTGATTAGTTTTTCAAAAATTACTTTTTGAAGATTTTTAAATGAAGATCATATGATTATAGCTAGTTCCCCCGCATATTCCTAAGAAGCGGTGTTTTTTTTTTTTTTTTTGTTTTTGTTTTTGTGATGGATAAGAGTGACACGGAATTGTCACGAAGCATATGGTGAAGTACATCTGTTGCGACGAGACAACCAGTCTTCAGTGTTTTGGTTTTTATCTTGGTCCCATTAACTGTCACCATCAATCATCATTGAGGCGGTCATATCCGAATTTTCACTGCGTTTTTCTTCCCCATTTCACTTATCTGAGGATGTACTGGAATTTGAAGGTGAACTGAACTGCAGGACGAATCTGACTGGAATAATTTGCAATGCAAAGAAATGCTTAGTGAATAAGGATGAGGATTTTGGCTGATACTGAAGGAGAAAGTTTGAAATTACTTGTGAAATCTTTTGATCCCTAACACAGCAACCGGGTATCACCTATTGTTTCATGAATTGAAGTTTCAAAATTATCATTTTCTCACCTATTATCATAAACAATTATGATATGTATTGTAAATTATCAGCTTACAGTCAAGCTAAACGATTTTGATTATTTCAGGAAATGATAGTAATACTGCAGTTCCGACTTTTAAATAAAATAATGATCCGGAAAAAAGATAGTTCTGTGTTGTGAGTATTTGCAATTATCGGCTATTTATTTTCCATTTTCTTCACTTCCAAATTTAAGTTGTTTAATTGCAATAATGAAAATTTGTCAAAATACAATTTGATGTTCATTTTAATATAGTATTGATATGATATGATATGTGTGTTATATAATTTGGCTAACTAATTAAGAATTTAGCGGTGTCAGTAATTAAATTTAATAGTTAAAACTAATATTGTAATACTTATATTATAATGCATAAGAAATGTAATGATTAATTAACATCACATAACACAATTAAGTTTCAATTTTTCGATTTTTTCAAGAAGACTTGGTTTATTAATTGATTTGAGATGATTTGTTAGAGGAGTTTTGTTGATGAAATAATTTATTCATCCGTGTGGAATATTTGATTTTGAAGGTTACGGTAATCTAAAGGTCAATTTTTATTGTCCTCTTCTTTTATTCCTCAACAAACCGATTGTAGTAATGATTGAAGGATGATGATCAATGCGATATCATATCTTTTGAATGAAATAAATACCGAAAAAAGCGAAAACAAAAAGTGATCATATATCACTTTAAGTTAAAAAGAAAAAAAATATTTTATGATATTATATGATATTATCTACCACCTGTGAAAATATTATTGTAAACAAAACAGATTAAGATAAGATAGTTAAATGAATTATCAGTGATATAAAATGAATGTGAAATGATTTAGTAAGTTTTAAGAGTAATTTACATTTGAACATAAAAACTGTTATACTTGAATCATTCACTTAATTACTTATTTACTACTTTATGTCAGCTAAGGTATATTTAAGATGAAATATGATAATGATAGTTTAAATAAAAATGATAAGAAAAACAATTGAATGTAAGATATATAAAGCTAATAGTAAAAATGAAATCTTTTGAAGTGGAACAATTTATTTATGTTAACAAAAAGAAAAAGAAATCACCAAAATTTTGAAAAATACCAAAAATCATTCCACCATTTTTGATATTTTATTATTCATTTTTTTATTACTTATTTATTCCTGTTAGATCTGAATTTTTACTTTTTTTTTTACATTTTCACTAGGCAACAACCAAGTTTTATTTTAATTTCAAAAAAAATATGTTGAATTAATTGAATAACTTATGTAAATATAATTAAATGTAAGTTTGCTTTTATAAAATTTGCATGAATTAACTTTAAATAAGTGGTAAATACTTGATAAATAACTATGATTAGTTGTAGTAAATAGTATAACTCTGATAAACCATTTAGTATATGAGTTACTGTAATAGTTAAGTATGAAATTGGATAAGTAAACTTTCAAGTTCCAATTTAATGAATGAAATGAAGCAGTGAAATTAAAATAAAATGTACAGATAAGTAGGATTTATATGAATATCGCTGATAACTACCCAATAACTATTTCATTAACTAACCATTTTTGTTTATATATCAAACGTAGAGATAAGCAAAAATTAAAAACTAAAAAATTGAAATAATAGAATTAAAGTTAGAGTGCTTTTCAGTAGGAAAATTTTGAGAGTAAATTCTCAATTTTGTTGTAAAATTGAATTATTAAAAAAAAAAAAAAAAAAAAAAAAAAAAACGAAAATTTTTGATTAAATTATGGAAATATGTTGAACATTGCATTCTACACAACTTCTAACAATCTTTTTAATTATTATTGCATTAAGAAACATTGAATTTTTTTAAATTTGAAATTTGCAAAAAATAAAAAAATATTTTTGTTGTTATCGTCCACACAATTGATTCATGCTGAATTTCTTAAAGAAATTTCGATAAAAATTTAGAAGAAAAAAATGATTGTGCTAAATAAATTTTATAATTTATCACTTTCTTAACATACTTCATTGATTGTCTGGAATCTGGATGCTTAAGAGTAGGAAGAATTTGAATAATTAATTTCAACTAATTTTAATTCAAATTTAAATTCAGAAATAAAACACAACAGATTGGTTAATAATTTGAATATTTCTTATGATTATAGAAGAACAAACTATATCAATAATTCGATATTTAATTACCACCTTCTTTCTCTCCTCTTCTTTCCTCCCATTTTTTACATAAATCATTTTATAATTATAGCTTTTCATTCGATCATGAAATATTATTATTCTAAAATTTCAACCGATACTGCTTAATAATTTAACTCTAACGGTTTGTCTGCTGCAATTTTCTAAAACTAATAATATAGCAGTATTGTTGGATTCAGATTGAAAAAATTTTTTTAATCAATAATTTGTAAATTAATTAGGCTTAAATTAATAAACAAAGTTTCTGAACAATAAAAAATTGCCAAACTTATTGCAATGAAAAATTTTTCTAATTTTTGAAAAAAAAAAGAATGGAATTGAAATAATGAAATTTAAAAAAATGCTATTAAACGTTAACGTTTAAATATTGTCTCATTTTTGAATGTTATTTTTGAGAAATTAATTAGAAATTTAACAAGACAACTTGCCGATGAATTTGTTAAAATTTGGTTTTTAGTAAAAAGCGAACACATCGTCATATCATTGCTGTAACAGAACTGGTTTAAAGTAATAAAATCAATGAACAATCTTTTCAAATTCTTAGTTATTTAACAAATTTACTTTCTTGTTAAACTTTATTTTCAAACTTACTCAGTTACTTTCTTTTCTATCTCATTCAAATTTAGGTTTAAATTCTATCTTTAAATTAGTTACTGTCATTTCATAATTTTAATCTTAATTATTTATTATGTGCTCGGATTTTGCTTCTTTCATTTTGATCAACAAATGTTCAAAAAAAAAACAATTTAATTTTTGCCTATTTTCTTTTCAATTATTTTTTAATGCGTTTAATTATTTAATCGAAATTGAATACTTAGAGTAAAAATTATTTATTTGAAGCATAATGCTTTTTAATTTTTTTAGC